ATACTAAAGCACCGAAGACAGTCTTGACCTCTCTCTCACTCTCACGCGTCCAGATCTGAAAGTGCCACCATCTAGATGTTTCCGATCAACGCAAGTAGCAATTCGCCGGATGTTGAACTCAGTGTCGAAGCTGAACCCTTCACAGCCGCCAAAGCCAGTAGAGACCAGGCCCATAGCATTTTCTCTCTTGGGATATGATCAGAAAGTCTTCGGTTTGTGGTTCAAAATTGTTTATAGGTCCCTCAAATCAACTTAAGGAAGGTCTACTGATGCGAGGGAGCGATGACTAGCGCGTGATCAAAGGCGAAGCGGAGTCTGGCCTTTCTAACCCCAAGTCGTTCAATCCGTTTCTGAAGTAAAGTGGGTTGAATTTCAGACTGGTGGAAGTGGAGTACCGAAATCAGAGGCTGCTGGTGTCGCTGATGAGTCTGTTTTCAGAACATTGAGACTTTCGTAACCACGGCTAACTTGATTGTGGAGTCGTGGATCCAATGAACAGTGGCTGTTGTGTAACACTTGATGGACCATCATTTTTTTCGCCATCGAGTAATTCGTGGGGTCAGAAACTGCACACACCCTGACAATTTCCAGACTTGATCAATCGGTGGGCATGGCGTTGACAGATTGCCTCCTGCACTGATTGTTTTCTAGTCCCAATCATGTTTGCTACAGTACCTTGCCTTATCTTCGCTCCTAAAACTGCCTCAAATGCCCAAAAACGCTTGATTAGTCGATGAATGGTTGCGAGAGAAAGCTAGAAATTGAATTCATATCGGGTGACTTCGACTGTAACGGCTATCTGACGAAGATGCGCTAGCGACGATCGCTGCGTTTGTGGCGTTAATTTGCTGGTCGTGAAGTCGCACCTTGACAATAGAATCCATCGTTCAATACAAGTCTCAGTTTAGTTATAGCGAAGTATAATATGAGGGATATTCTTGCACTATTAAGAAAGAGAATTCATAAACTAAGGAGCTGAAGAAAAAGTCTCACTTGATTCTCGGAATGGTATTGTGAAACTAAAACTATCAAGTGACAATATTGACTTCAGTATATCCAATACACCAATTGCAACTCGAAGCCCTACTTGTATGTAATGATCTTTTCTGTTTTGTAATTCTCTGCATGGTTCACAAATAATTTTAAATAAGACTGTCCAAGTTTTGGTTTTAAAGCTACTGATTATTTTTTTCCTTTAACTTTAATTGGAAAACAGGTACGCTAGGTTCAGATCCTCATGAGTTTTTTGTAAATGAAATTTAAAACCCACACTTCATAGCTAATACACATTCACTCACTTTATCATTTATTTATTCATTCATATTTTTATATATATATATATATATACAAAGATATTCAGACGAACGAAAGCTCACGACTGTTACAGAAAGTCAACTGCAGGCCAATTACTAATACTAAAAACCTTCGTAGCATCCGCCGTCCATTCAAGAAACCGACACTATCTCTGCGAGTTGAATTCAAGCGGCCCACCCAACCGGTTGCACCATCCTGAAAGCTACCAAAGCCACGAGCTGGTCGTAAACAAATTTCTTCCACTGACAACGAAGTCGCTGGCCACCCAATTACTGCAACATTAGCCTTCTCCTCCTCCATTAGCCAACAGCATAAGCCAAAGCCGAGGAGCAGGGATGAGATGAACCCACCGGGACGTCAGCCTATGCTGCGAGTTCGCAGTCTCAAGTGTGGCCTGGTTTACGTAGGAACACTAAATTCCACAAACAAAAGAGTAACAACCATTGTGTCGATTCGCAAGGATAGGAAGCAGAATCGGCAACCGTGTGGCATGATCTCGAAGTGATGGCTCCGAGGATCCATCCATCCCCACCTCCTGCAACCTCTCTCATATGCCACAGCAGCAGCACAAGAGCCATGTAGTTGCAACTGCTGCTTGCAATAGTGCGGACACCATCCCCACTATTCCATCGCCAAAGCACGTCGAGGTGGTCACATTTTCAAAGCCACTTCTCATGTCAGCCCACGTTTCCGTTTCCGGCCCTTGAAAACCAGCATCACCACCACCACCACCAGGTGCATGGTTTCCGGCTTTACAAGATACATTTTTACTGCACAAATTGCAATGCAATGCAAGACTAAAGCAGAGCCCATGGAGACTTGTTCTTCTGCATCGCATTAGAGATTCTTTGACAATTGAGTTGAATGGGAGTGAGACTGTTGTATGAGATCTGATATTGGTGTGTTATTCAAACATGGCATATGGTGGTGTAGGATCGCATATTGTATATGGTGTAGGGCTATTACATTAGGCTTACATTTTTTAGTCAAGGCATCAATGTAGAACAATCATATTTATAGGAAAAAAGTGTCATCAAGTTAGTATAGATAAGAGTGAAGGTCATGTTCTTGACTTTGATTGAACTAGCTAAAACTTTATACATAAAAGTTACTTAGAATAAAAATAAAAAATATATTTTTGATTTCAACAAGACATGAGTATAGCATGTATAATTTATTAATAAATTATTTCTAATAGAAATTTTAAATAAAATACATACATATATATATATATATATATATATATATATTTTTATTTAGTATTTTAAAAATAAAAATAGATAAATAATTAATGCATAAAATGTTATAAGATTCTTCTACTAAAACATTAGCCAAAAAATATATAGTTACATTTAGAGAACCTAAAAAGGGTTTTAGACACATATGTCTGCATATTTTTGTTTTGTTTCATATCCTAATATAAACTCATAAGGATATCACATAGATGTTTTATAATTTTAATTTATAATATATAAATATTGATACTCATATTAACAATTTATCAAAGATGTGTATGTATGTATGTATGTATATATATATATATATATATATATATATCTTTATTGTATTTTACATCTAATATAACTTTATAATTAATCATTTTTTGTATCTTGTATTGTTTTTAAAAGTAACTATTTTAGCTTCTATTTCTAAAATAATCATCATAAATAAAACATCCATGGTACTAATTTTAAAAAAATAATATGGATATTAGTCTAACATTCACAATTATAACTTCTTTATTTATGAAAAAAAAGACTAATAACATATTAAACTTTACTTGTTTTTATCAGTGCACTCATATATAAGATGTTATTTGTAATTGCCAAATGATACAGATTATAAGATTGTAAAATATAGCATATATTCTAAACGGCTCAAGATTATCATTATTTATTTAATTTCAATAAAAAAAAAATTGAATAGAAAAATTTCTAAAGATTAATGTGAAAGTTATTCTAAAATATTTAATAAAGTTAATGATAAAAAGTATTTATAGTTTTAAGTAACAATGTAGAAAAGGCAATAACAATATCATTATTATTATTAACTTGATGTGTAAAAACTGGTCATTAAACTTTTTTTTAAATATTGTTGTATATTTTTAATATATAAAACCACAAATCATAAATTGATATTTTGATTCTTCAATCCTGTGGTTTTAAAATTCAAAAAATATCAACATAGAATCTTACTCAAAACTTTAATGTTTCTTTTGTTTCTTTTGTTTCTTTTTATCAAGCAAACCAAATGTAATTGTACAAACCGTGTTTTGTTTTTCATTTTAAGTTTTGTAATAGATTATGACCTTTGAAATTAACGTATCAAAAATCAAATAAGTAGAACACACGCAACACGCAATCAAATTTTCCGACTTAAAAAAACACACATTTATTTATTGTTGATTAACGACGTGTTGAGCAAATAGGATAGAAGCTGTATTGTCAAGCATCCTGTATTAGAATGAATACTCTTTTTAACTTCTCGTTATGAAATATCAGAGAGGAAAAATCTACTCGAGATAAAATTAAAAAACTAAAAATAGAGTAAACATAAAATTAAAATAAAAATACTTCGTAAGAATTCATGCGGTCAAATTTGCTTCTAATGAATCAAACCTCCATTCACACCTCCTCTTTACACTCTATACAGTTGTAAAAATTACGGATCGACAAGTAGCCAAGTGTACAACTCCAACAAGTACAACACCAGCTACTTCTACATAATAAAAAAAATCACATATTGTGTGGTTGGTTCATACATGTCACCTATTTCACCTGATTCGTAACACTTTTTTAACACTCTTCCTGGGTCGGTTCTCCTCCTCCTCTAATGCCACCCATTCTTATACCCAAGTGGTGTATTTCTACAGTAGAAGATGTGTACCTATTATTATTATTATATATGTATAAATCATTCTTTAACGCATTGATGAATCAGAGCAGGATCAGATTGTGGGTATGTGAGAGAGCAGGACCTGATGCCAGAACAAAAAGCTGGATCCAGAAACGTGGGTTGATCTGGCACGACGTCAGAAACTCAACCCCAGATCGGTGCAAACCTGAACCATGGGATGCGACTCTCGTGTCAGATTAACTTAGTCCCCCCTTTCGGCGATTTCATTGAAGTGAAAACAGCGGCGTCGGATCCCACACTAGAAGCCCATCACCAGCTGCTTCCCATTTGTTTGTATCAGATCGTCTCCACCGATGCCACTGATTGCGAGTGGGATAGCATTCGAGTCCGCAGTTCGGAGTACAGTGAAAGTATCATGCTTCTGTTGTAATTGGCAACTGGTTCATTCGGGAGGAGGCTTTGAACAGCCATCCCAACACATTGACTCAAATAAATTATTACATGCTTCCAGTACGAGAAACTTCGAGGGTTCGATATAGTGAAACTGAAAAGGGTGGTGGGGGAGGGGGTTGGACAAAAGTAATGGATAGAGGCGACAGGTGGAGGAATTGGCACATTTTGCTTACCACCTGTGATATAAAATATTCGGTTGGTTCTTGACCTAGATGGATTTGCTTGAGCCAAGTTCCCTTGGGTGGCGGCGCCTGTGCTGATTGGACTAAAGGACTGGGTCGTGAGGATCCGTTTACTGGCTTAGCCGCTTGATTTCAATGCTATTTTTGAGTATGGTCCGCAATCCTTGGTCGGAAGCCTATTTCGCCTCTTTGACCGGTGCTGAACCTTTCGTTACTGGCAAGACTATTTGATCCCCCACGCTGACTGTCATTTGAACTGCCATTTCTACGTCATGTACCGTCTGCCCTAGGAGTACTTATTTCCTGCTCGCCTAGTTCAGATTCATATTCTCTCAACCTAGCTGAAACCATGGACCTACTTTCGGTTCAGTGCTGGTCCGTTTGAATACCGTGAGTTTCTATATCTGAGCATGCGTCAACTGAACCGGAGTATTTGGGAGTCTGTCGTTGTGTGGGATTGATGCAGTTTACATAGGTATGGAGTTGTAGCGAATCGATATTTGAGTTTGCCCGTAGGATGAGGATTACAGGATAGTGTGATTGGTGGTACAGGATCAACAGCGAAGGAAGAGGCAGATTGTTTTGCACGGTGAGCTTAAGCTTCTCTTTCATCGACCTGGATATGGCGTTGGGCGCCTCCGTTACGGCGCTCAAACCATGTGACCCAGGATTGCCACGGCAGGCGCTGCTGGAGCCCATCCAGACACATCTGCCCCTACAGGTGCCAGCGGATTTTGAGTGTCCCATTCACTTGGACATCATGACAGACCCCGTGACTCTGAGCACCGGCATAACATACGATCGCGTGAGTATCGAAAGGTGGCTGGAAATGGGTCACAACACATGCCCAACCACGAACCAGACCCTCCAGAGCAAGAAGTTCATCCCCAATCACATTCTCCGCAGCACCATTCAGAAGTGGTGCCTGGCCAACAGCACGCCCGGGATCGACAGACTACCGGCCCCGAGGCAACCAGTGGAGCTTCAGACAGTGCAGAACATACTCCAAATCATCACTGAGTGCGCCGACGCGGGGCACTGCGACAGCGAGTCTTTGGAAAAACTTTACGCCATAGCTGGAGAATGCAGCCGCAACAGGAATTGTCTGAAAGAAGCTGGAGCAGTTCCCATACTCAGTGCCGCTTTAGCAAGTTCAAGGACAGATCTAGACAGCCGGAAAGCAGCGGAGCGCGCCCTGCACGTGATTGCGTTGCTGAAACTCGATGACGATGACAAAAAATCGCTTGTGGAGTGGAAACCTTTCTCTCGTCTCTGCACGATTCTCGCATCGGGGTCCTCCAGTGGAAAGATTATGGCCGCCAACTTGATACACATACTCGTCGGTGAGGACGCATGGCTGAAAGCCATTGTGGGCAACTACCCAGGGGCGATCAAGGGGCTCGTGAGTGTCCTCAGAGAAGCTGGTTTACGCCCCAAACCAACGAAGATCGTGTTACGGTGTATGCTCTCTCTCACCTCCACGAAAAAGAACTGCATCGCGGCGGTCGATGCCGGCGCTGTCGTAGCCCTCATTGAGCTTGTACCTCGAACCGAAACGCGGAACTTGGAATATGCCTTCGCGATTCTGGAGCTTCTCGCCAAATGCGCGGAAGGGCGAGAGGGGATCACGAATCACCCATTCGCCATCCCTCGAATCGTCAGCTCGCTCCTCGGCGTCTCTAACCAGACTTCCGAGCACGCTGTCGCGGCCCTTTGCGAAGTAATCTCGCTCGCTTCTAACCGGTCCGTTGTCAATACGGCGCTCCGAGCTGGTGCTTTCACAAAACTCTTGATGCTTCTGCCCAGCAACTGTAGCCAGCGAGCGAAGGTGAAGGCGCGGATGACTCTCAAGCTGCTCAACGATGTCTCAGGGACGCATTCCACAGGTCTGGACGGTGAATCTGCCGTCATGGTTTAGCAGGATATTGTGGAGTTAATTCAAGAGGATGAATTAGGCTGCAATAAGTGATCGATTTCATTGCGAACGTTTCAAGAATTGGTTGGCCTGGCTTGGTTGTTTGCTCGAAGAGCACTTGAGCGGGGGAAAATTTGGGGTGATGGCGGCGTAGCACACATCTTCTGATCCACAGAATGGACGTCGACACACAGCCCTCGGTCCTTCTTGCCCGCGTCACCTTTGGGTGTGAAGATTGTTATGGAACCATGTCACCTGTTGCGAATCAAATTGAAAGCAATGACTTCAGAGGAAAACAATTGAGGAATGCAGTCTTGATCTAGTCAAATGTAGAGGATCCATGGAAGCAGTTGAGCAGAGGCTCCTAAAGAGTATCTTGAAATTGCTCATGTGTTGCAACCTAATCTATTTTCTAATACGGGTGATCGAAAAACTGTTCTTTCAAAGAACAATTACCCAAATTTTAGCCATTTCTTACTAGTGGTAGACCATTCTGCTTCAATTCTGAGCAGATTTAGGATCTGGCTACCCAATTCAATTCATCGCAGTCTACTAGGAAATAAAAATCACATGTTTTGAGAGGACTCTAATAAGATGCACACCAATAAATTTACGCACGAAGCTGCTTTCAGGCCATCCACCTAATAATATGTACCAAGAATTAACGAATTTGTTTCAACCACTTCACAATTCCACGATACATCCAAAGAGGTAGTGGAATGAAGCGTTACTGATCAACACGCATGGAATGGAAAAATCCAACGGGAGGCAAGGAAGAGATGATTTTGCTTCAATCTGAATGCTGAGGGTTTCCTTGAAATGAATGAATAATACATGATGTCTTGACCTTGGCGTCGTGGTGAATATTGCAATTTGATGCATTATACCACTATATTTTAAGAGCTGAACTTTTAGTTTAAAGCACTTGGGGCCACTCCCAACTTATCTGCCGCCAGAAGGAGTGATGTCAGCGCTTTATTGACCAGAAGCGGTGTCGATTAATGTGACATCCATCTGACAATCTCTGGCTGACCAGGACTTCATCAATGCGACATCCTGAGAAAAGATGCATACGTTGGAATCCTTTTTAAACAAGATACTAGCCACTGAAAAGACCCGAAAGCATATTGATTGCGCCTTGCGTGAAGAAGCCCGGTCGATGGAGTGCTTGGTGCTCCGAAATGCCACCGCTGCGGCTTCAAATCGTAGGGGCAACTGATTCAAACCTCACATTTCAGGAAGTGTTGCAGGAGGTCCTTCCAGCTTTTACAAAAGCTCCTATAACTCTTTGGGCCTTTTTGATTTCTGAATAGTGTTTAATCGTTTACTGGCAGCTGTCGAAGACTTCGGTCGGAAACTACATTTCCCTGGTAAGTGTGATACACAAGTTACGGAGGAGGTATTTCAAACCTTTAAGAGTTAAGATCTGTGTAAAAGCATGTCTTCAGATGGTATGTTTCTATAAAACAATTAGCAGAAACTAAAAAACGAAATACTTTATTAACTTATGGGTAGAATTTAACAATTCAACTACAGGTGTAAAATAAATAGATGTTTAATTCATAAATTTAACGTACACGGAAGTTCGGAGAATTCAGGAGAGCAGCGTCATGCAATATTCTATATGTATGTACACCACCAATTTTACCAGCATACTTACTAATATAAATACGAGAATATTGCAATTCGGGGGAGGGAGGGGGTTAACTATGCAAAAACAAAGATTATTCCAACATCAACAGATTTCCGCCACCAAACCTCCAAAACAATATACACATGAGATGGTCAATAAAACATGTGGTGTCCATCTGTGTGGCCTTGCCTACCCGACTATCTACAACCCAACCTTCACTATCCACATCATTGTTGCAACATGTCTCAGATTATAAAGCGGTTAAAAACTCCCGCTCCAAATCATTCCGACCGAAACCATCTACGGTCTAGATATCCGTTCAGGTGTCGTCAAGTACTGATCCCTTGCACGAACTACGAGGGTTTCAAACTCTCGGTCAGTTGCTGTTCCAGTGGTTACTTGCGAATGCGTCCGACCCAAAAACAGAATACTGTGAAGAACGTGGCAGTTGCACCATTCAGAGACCCATGTTCACTGAGGGTGTTGATGATCATCACACTCATCTGCTGCCACCTTTTCCTGGAACAAGCCATAAGCCAGTGCCACGAATCCACAATCGTCTACAGATCCTTCCAATTTCTCACTGCTAGCATGCATGAGCTACCCCCCCCCCACCAACCTAAAAAAGCGCCATCAAGCATCATCGCTCCAAATCATGTTCTCATGCCTGATGCAATCGCCGCAGTAATTCCCCATGGAAGATGGGAATAACTGCTTATAAATTGCCAGTTGAGACACGGCCTGTACCACGGCCCCTGCCATAACCACCACCTCTTCCTATCCCATAACTTCCACCACCGCCACCATAGTAGCCGCCCCTGTAGCCTCCACGACGTCCTCCGCGTCCACCACGGCCCCCGCGAGACCTCACTGGGAAGGCGCCAAATGTCTGAACACCACGAAATCTCAGTCGGTATTATCCAAAATATTCATGCAAGAACAGGACGAAAGCACATATTTCCATCGTAAGAGAATCAGTAAAACCCAGGAATGCCTCACGACCAAAACCAAGTCAATTCGCATAAGATCACATGCCATCAAGGACATGCAACCAAGGATGATGGTCACCCTAGCGGAACATACCTCAGTGTCGATCTTGCGCTGTTCAGAAAATTTGGTCCGTTCACCACGTCCTTCAGATGCATCGCAAGATAGAGAGTCGAAAAAATCATCCTTGTTATAAAGAGCCTGATAAACAAACCCCCATGCCCTCAAGATTAGACCACATGGGAGATACAGCCTTGCATTGCAAATTCCAGCTCACAAATAGTACAAGGACACATTTCTCATCCTCTCCCACTACCTCCACTACAAGAGCTTGTTTAGGACAATGTCAAGTTCGTCCACTAACTGAAAGCAATAATCACCTTCTTTGAAACATCCAAGTGTGTGGTATCGGCTGCCTCGTCTTCCGCATTCCCGTTTTCATATTCGTAGTCTTCTTCTTCATCCTTTCCTCCGAGCGTTCCCCAAACTTCGTCCTTGTTGAACTTCTCATTCATGGCTGTGAAGTCGAAATCTTCAGTGAATTGCTGCGTGGGATTCGCCAGCTGAAACAAGTTACAAGTTTCGTCATGATCAGGAATGAGACACAGAACAACTCAAGAAGATGTTGGATGCCAACTTTTGAGAGTTAACGAGTGCACAATGAGACAATTATTAGATATCAATTAGTGCCAGTATAACCTGTAAGTTGAAACAAGAACAAACGGGGCCTTAAAACCTTAGGAAAGTATAAAAAATTACCGCCATGCCCCTTCCGCTGCCGTTGCCTCGGCCTCTTCCACGACGATTATAGTTGCCATTCCCCATGTAACCATTTCCCTGCACATCCGATCATCAATATCGTCTCATTATCGTCCATACCATGTAGAAGCACGCAATCACTTTAAAAAACATTATCGTAGCATCGCATCCCAGCACTAAGAATCAGCCACAGAAATCTCCAAATTTGCGTCCCGACTGTTGGGCCATGGATTGCAGCCCAAATAACCGTAACTTCAGTTGTCCTCGAATTCCAAAGGCTCTCGGGTTCACTTACCACCTTGGCCACAATTAATATAGCGGGTTTTCAATATGTGTAGAAACAACTTTCAACTATTACAAAAATGCTATATAGTACCTGCCAGTGATTCCTTTGGCCAGTGGGTACGCCATGGCTTCCGCGCTGCTGAGTGAAGCAAATCATGTTCAGAAAGATTTAGGTTACAATACTTCGAAGTTATTTACAAATGCTGAGGACCGGAGCGAGGCTACAGTCAAGTCCACAACTAACATTACAACTTTAACACTTATGATGTTGTCCTAAACAGCATCAAACGTAACTCCTACACGCACTTGGTAAACATCAATTTAGCATACAGGGCTCTTCCTTCAAAAGGTTAGGCTATTAAGCTACCCATGCTAGCAAAAGGAACCAGATGAAACCTATCCCTCTTCCAGAGTATGAGGAAAAAAACATTAAGCATATACCCGAAAGACTACAGTGGTGGAGTGCACCTGTTGCTTCTGATCTGCGGGGGGCAATGGAAGGAGAGGCTGACTGACTTGCTCCTGCGCAGGTGCAGCCAGTGAGCTAGTTTGCACTATGGGTGCCCTTGCTGCATTTTCCTGGTCCGCTGGTTTCTGCCTCACTTTGGGAGGCGCTTGACTTTGTGCAACAACTGCTCCCGATTTTGCAGCTGTAGCAACAATTCCAGAAGACTGCATTGCCTCGCTTTGTGGTCTTACCATGGACCCAGAGGACACGACGGTCGCACTTGATGTGCTCTGTGACCCATTAGAAGAGGATCCCACAGTCTGTGATGGAGCCTGCGGAACCTGAGTCACATTGGCCACAGGACGTCGTGGGTTCTTTGCGACTGGCGTGATCACCACGCTTACTCCTTGCATAGGAGCAGAAACAGAAACTGCAGAAGGAGAGGCAGAAGCTGCTGTCCCGGCCGAAGAAGCTAATGGAGTGACTGCTGTGGTCACAGTAGGTGCGGTGGAACTCATCACAGTAGAAGCCTGCACATACATCGACCATTGACACGCTGGCCAGGAAAACATCGAACATCAAATACTTCCAAATTCACGAAACTAGTAAAACATCAAATAAGCTGTAAAAGAGATAATGGAAGTTACTGGAGGAGAAGCTTCTGCAGCTAAAGGTGCCACTGAAGTAGCAGGGCTAGACATAGGGGCAGCTGCAACATTTGATGATGAAGCTTGAGTCTGCGAAGCAGGAGTTACTCCGCCGCTAGGGCTAGCCCCCGTTACCGGTCCTGGAGTACGTGAAACTGCCGGAAGCTGCTGAGCCAGGGATGGCGCTTGTTGACCCTGCTGGATCTGCTGCTGCCCATGTTGCTGTTGTTGTTGTTGTTGTGGCTGACCCTGTGGAGGCGTTGCCAACGACGGAGGAGGTTGAGGGGGCATGGGTTGGTGCTGCATGTGCCCTGCTGGTGGCGGCCTGTAATAACCTTGCCAATACATTGGCATTGCCAGACCCGACCCATTGGCACCAGGAGGTGGTGGAGGACCCCACGACTGCATTCCCCCTGGAGGATATAGAGGAGGCACTGCCCTCGGGTACTGAGATGGCATCCCCATGTAAGGAGGAGGAGGAGGAGGGGGAGAGGCACTCGGCTCCGAGGAAGACCCTGCTGCAGAAAGTCCACTATTGTACGACCCCAGAGAGGACGGTGGAGGGTATTGTGGCTGAGACTGCTTGAGTAGACCAGTAAACATTGAAAAGACATTAATGCCATATCCATCAGAACCCTCTCACCCCGAGACCCAGCATTTCTAGAGAAAGATTGGCACGTGCAAAAAATGTGTAAACTAAGCTTCGATTCTGAAATTTGTAATCACAATGCTGCAACTAACCACGATAGATGCTTACACTCACTCTTGATGCTAAAATTCGAGCTAAAAAAAGCCTTGTCGAAAGGACTACCCACAGAAAAATCAACTGTAGGTTAAGACAGCGTACCTGAAGTGAGATGATTGCAGGATCTGTTTGTTGAGGTAGAGGAGGAGGTTGCAAGGGAGGAGGTGGGGATGACTTGACTTGCAAATCCTAATCACATAGTTTAAAGAAATATCAATCGCACAGAATCTTATTGTCGAGCAGGAATCAACCGATACTCGACACAGTCTAGATCAGGTAAAAACTAACTCAACTTGCCTATCAAGGGTCAAAGGGCTTTAGAAACCTAATTCTGACCTTGATATCTGATCCTCGGAATATGATGTAGTCGTACACCTTATCGCTAGCTGGAATTTGGGGCCCATCCTTTTTACGCCCTTCTGTCCCGAATGACCTCACTGAAAGAAAAATATCAACAAACGATTAGTCATGGCCGATATCATCGCATCTGGCTCTCTACAAAGGGGAGGGGAGAGCAGTGACAGACTCGACCCGAGGACAACTCTGATTCATCAAGGGAAAAAAGAAGGAAGAGAGAGAAAATAAATATAGACATAACAAAACAAAAGTAAAAATAAAACAAACAAACAAAAAGGACCATAACTGAGAAGTAAAATTACTGTCTCGTGTATCATTCGGCTTCTAGCTCTGTGACATTCGGCCTCTCATACTCTTAACACGCACACATACTGGAATCAAACTCTCAACTTCTATTACAAGCTTGTGGTGCAAGCCAACGTAGATTCTAATAACGTGCGTATTACGACCTGACACTTTCACCCTCCTTGAGACATGAAATCGACTTTGATGATCAGATGTGATGATCCCTCTTCTTCAGCATCCAAGATTTTTATACAGTAAATGTATCAAAAACTCTACAAGTTGCAGTGTATGTGAAATGGACCTTCAACATTCCTTTTCTAAAGGATTAACACTCCTTCCAAAAGCATTAATCACAATCTAAGTGTCAAGATGTAAGGACAAGAGCACTTCCCAAATGCCCCTGCTTTTCCGCTGGGAATTAGCTGCTGAATTCTACTCAATTGTACTGCCGTTCAAGACGTAGTCTTGACACGGACTAATGTTTCTAACTCCCAACATCTAGATATGATTTTTCGTAAGATATCATCGCCTCTGCTTGCTAATTCAGATTATCAGCGAGAACGCTACTACAAACCGTTCTATGCCCTACTCTTTAAAAGTGAACGACCACATTTGTTAATAATGCCATAACAAGAAGTGATGACCTAGGCTTCACTTGCACATGTCTCTGATCTTTCCACAAAATTTAAATAAGACTTTCTTGCAAAGCCAAAATAATAATAATAATAATAATAATAATAATACATTCTTGGAAATGTCGATTAACTGAAATTCGAGATAAAAGGATTTCATGCTCCAATGGCCAACACTAACGCGGACAACAAAACTCCGGAGCAAAAGCAACAACAAACACTCCAGCCAGCACGTTGTAAGGGTCGACTCAGACACAAAACCAATAGGTCCTCACAGAAACTCTAACTAACATGACCATATGACACATAAACAGAGATAAACACCAAAATATCATCGTCCCCATCACATCCTACATTAACCAAACTTATGGCAAACCACACACCACGTCATAAACACCCAAAACTGTGTCATTAACACCCCAAAGTTCCCTCTCCAACCCTTAAACGGTAACACGAAAACAAAACAAAAAAAAAAAAAAACACAACAAAAAACCAAAGAAGGAAAGGACGGAGAGTGGAGTTGTGAACTCGAAAGCGCACCGTTCTGCAGCGCTATGTTGGAATTCTCGGTGTCCACAGTGTACAGAATCCCTTCGTACCGAATCTCACTCTTCGAGGTGAGACTAATGAGGCTACCAATGTAGGAATCGGCCGTGTTCGGCCCTCGCCCGCGCCCCATTGCGACTGCTCCACAAGGGACTCCAACCCTTCCGCCTCCTGCACGCTCGTTCTCCTCAGCTAAAGACCGCTTTCAGTCACAGGCAAGACATATCCGACGCATCAAAAGGCGATAGCAACAACAATAGAGTGGCACGAGGAGGAGGAAGAAGCGAATGCGAGTTGGGGGGGGGGGGGGGGGATAGCAGGCTGCTGCTGCTGCTGGCATCAACAATGGCGCTGTCAATGAATTGAGTCAAGCTGCTGGACCTCGTGAACGAAACTAACTGACTGACTGACTGACTGACTATGGGTGCTGCTGCGATAGATAAAACGATCTCCGCAAGAGAGAGAGTCACCACCGAAGACAAAGAAGAAGAATACAAAGAACAAACAAAAGTATGGGGGGTGGTTGATGTCCATAACCTAGACTACTACTACCACTGTGCTGCTGCTTTGCTGCTTGCTACATGCTGGCTACTGCTGCTCCAACCCCATCATCCATCATCATCATCGCCCTCGCTCCAAGATTTCATGGTGGGTTTCGTAGATGATGAGGTGCTGCCCCTTCCCCTCCATCCCCCAAACCCTAATTCGCTTTGCCTTCCCTTCCTTCGCCTCCCTCGTTGCGACGTGCTGCTGCCTGCCTGCCCCATCAGGAGGCGGATATCTATCTCCAAACACGTAGATTATCGGGAACCTAAGGGAACTTAAGGGAACCAAGGGGAACGAATGGGAACTGATTCGCGGGGATGGGTTCTGCAGTCCGACGTCCCTTTACCCAGTCATGGGCTACTTGGACCGAATTCCGCGGATTCACGGTCTTAGAGTCCCTTTTTTCTTTTGCTTTTTGGTTCTCTTTCTTCTTCTTCCTCCGTGAACTTTTCCAACTCGGAGTGGTGGTGAGATTGGAGTCATAGATGAATGAGAAGATAATTCGCTGAGAATGACGCAGCATAAGAGGGAGAGACACACACAATGTGTACAGAATGGGTGGTGGTTGAGCACTTATGAACAACTTCTTTTATTAAGTCTATAGTTTCTTTACTAAGTCTTTTTGGTTAAAAGTTCACAAAGGTCGTAATTTGGGTTCTTATAGTTTTTTTATGGTTGATTGTGTATTTTAGAATTGTGGCAAGGTTTTGTGTATTTTTTTTTTAGATAAAAGAGTTGTTGTTAGCAACTAATAGTGTAATCTTGCTCAACTTGCAAAAACAAAATATTTAGTTTTCTTTGAAAGCTATACATTTTTTAAGCAAGTGGTTTGAAAAATGTAGAAAACTTAATTATTTGGAAATAATTATTTTGGATTTTTTAATAGTATTATTGAATTTGGGATAAATGTAATATTTTAAACATTTTAAATCGTTTTTTAGGCCTCTTTTTATTAATGATGAATCTATAGATTATAAAATTATATTAAAAAGAAAATTGTTTTAAGATTGTTCTTGAGTGTTTCAATACAATGTTTTAATGTGCTTTGCATGGATGCATGATATGTCTTACAATTTTGGATTAGAAAAATTTATAATTTCAGGGTGTTTCAATAGAATGATATAAAATTAAAGGGGAAAAAAAATGTTGAATTTCTAAAACAATAACAGCTATAGTTATCTATAGATATTTTTTTGCTAAACCAAACTTAAAATTTATTAGATAGATGTCAAGAGATCTATAATCATTGGTATAATTCTTCTTCATGATTGCAATATTTTAATGTAAGTAATAAATATGGTTTCTTTTACAATTAATACTTATAACTAAATTATGTTGATTTATAAGTTATAACTATAAGTGTACCATTTATTCTTTCTATAATTTTAATTTTAATTATTTTAATTATAAAAAATGGTAATAAAATTTAATAATTCTTTGTTTGATTGTAAAAATTTCATTTACAACATGATTTTAAGAATATAATATTTTCAGCTCAATCTCAAATCACATAACAATATTACATTAGATCCTCTATTGTTATAGCCATATGTTTTAATATCATACGTTTAAATTTATTTTTCATTTTACAAATATCATTATTTAAGAATTTTAAAATGAATTACCTATTTTACAGTATCTACTTTATGACTACAATAATTTTGAAAATAATTGTAATATATTCTGAAATTATGAATTAAACCAAAAAATTAAATAATAATTTAAATAGCATTGAAATTTTGATATTTTGAAGTATCAGATAATGAAAAAATATTCAATTTAAAAAAATTAGAAACATCATTTTTTTATTAAAATAATATTTATGTTTCTTAGCATCAATGTTATTATGGAAGTTTGTTAGTAATATTGATGTTTATTTGATTTTTCAATTTTTTTCTATATTTTATTATTTTATTATTTTGAAATATTTTTTGTATATGAACAAGTTAATGAGAAAATAATAAATTTATTATATTAAATTTCCAATGGTTTGTTCCATAAGTATAGCATGTTAGAAAGTAAGTTTAATATTTTTTCTAATATTCCGTGTGTGTATGTATGAATATATATATATATATATATATATACTCAAAGATAGATAAATAACATTATTACTAATATATTCTTAATTATAATTTTATCTAATTTTTATATTAAATATAAAAATACATTTATTTATTATTCTCATTTTTTATTTATTTATAAATAATAGAATTGTAAAATATTACAATCATCTTATTTTACAGATTTTTTTTTATAATTTCTAATTATTTTTTAGAAAAACTTCATTTATGTATTTAATTCTTTAATAACAAATCATCATGTAAAACATTATGAGATTATTTTCATAATTATTTTATTGTGAAATTTTTTTATAGTTATAAGATTTCAGTAGTTTTTATTATTTTAACAAGATTTATTATAATAATGAAGATAATATAATCATCTTACCTATTACAAATGGCTATAAAATGAAATTTTAGAGATAGAAATTTAAATCATGTTTTTCTCTAGAGTTATAATTTTATGTTCATATAATACTATTTGTTTTTTTTTTTGTTTTTTTTGTGTTTTTTTTTTTGTTTGTTTTTTAATTCACTTATAAGATGTAAGATTCAATGTTGCTTTAAGCAAGTTTAACTATGTGGTAATATTCTGGAAGAAATTTATTGTGATCTCAACAAAGAAAATTCTTTATTGAACTGATTGAGTGATTGTGGCTTGTTATTTAAATTAATTGTTGTTGTTGTAAGTAAAAAAGATTATATTTCTCTTTTGTAACTCACTCTACGAGATTTTATTTCTTTATTTATTTATTTATTATTCTGTCTTACATTCTTGTAACAATATTTAAGTATAAGTAAAAAGTTGATATTATTTTCCAAAGTATTTAACAAATGATGGAATAGCTACTTGGTTTTGGAACAATATTAAAACATAAGAGATTATAATTGTTAGTATTTTTGTGTCAAGAACAAGAACTTAAAGAATGTGAATAAACAAGCTAGGCATACATCAAAAAGAAAAGGATAAATAATATATATATATATATATATATATATATATATTGAAGAAGAATTTTGAATAACTATTATTAAAAAAGGACTAGAGACTCTTAAAACTATACTAGAAGCAAGAAAGACATTGACAAGAGTGAGAAATGCTTTATTCTTAACACCAAATACATTATCTAACTAAAGAGGTATATAACAATGTTCTTTAAGCCAAATGACTCATATCTAAATTGTGATGCATGTGTCTAATTTATAAGATAAGTTTTTGATACATGTATCATATGACCAATTTGTAATACAAGTAGCAAACATATGTGACATATTACCAAGTTGTTGATCAAGTTTTTGACCAATTAATCATCTATCAATACATATATAGTCAAATTTGTGCCTAGAAAAACTTTTAGAAGTTTTTCAATAAAATATTGCTACTTTAATCTATTATTACTTATTTTAATTTAATTTTAGTTATCCAATTAATTATATCTATAATTATAGATATATGTAATATTATATCTTTGATTGTCATGAATTTTTTAATGACAACACAATGGATTCAATTCAAGTGTCATAATTTTTAGGTGTAATTTGTGATATATTCTTAGATTACTTAGGCACTTAGATTTTTGCAAAAAAATATCATAAAAATTAAAATTAAATTAAATAGTATATTTGAATTTTACTTTTAAATATTATATATAATTATTTAATATATCAATTTATATATCTATGCAATTATTAGTAAGTAAGTTTAATTTTACAATCTTAAAATAAATTTTGGATAATTTGATGTTTTCATTACATATTAGAACAACATTACTCTTTTAAGTGTCTATTAATTAAGTAATATTAAAACATAAAGTCATTAAATGTTTTATTCTTATATATCTAAAATAATAACGTTTTACTTTAAAAAACCTTCTTTTAAGCATAACAAATACCATAATACAACAATTGTTATTGTTTAAGCTTTACAATTGCAATATGTTTTAAAAACTACTTTTTTCATTATAACAAAATAACAATGAGATATTATATTATTAGGCACAAATAATATTGGAATATATATATATATATATATATATATATATAATTTTGTTGGTTTTTATTTTATTTAACATATTTTGAAGTATTTTTTGTTACAATATTGTCCTTAAAGGACCAAGCAATTCTTATAAGTTGTACAAATTATTGAAGCAATAAGTCTGATAGATGTTCATGTTACTTTAGTACATAGAACTTAGTAGAAGTAGATAGAAACAAATTGGGAAGATACTATTTACTTCAAAAAGCTTTAAGGAAGTTTTCTATATTCAAAATATGTTTTTGACCTTTATATGTATACTACAAAACTATTTAAAATAATATTTAAATACTTTTGTACTTTTCAGAAGTTGCATTAGAAGCAATCTACAACATGGCACTTAGGCCACAAGCTTTACAATCCATAGGAAGCTTCTATAAGATATTTTTTGTATGTAACATATATAAAGGCAAGACTAAGACCATCTTTGGTCTTGTTAATGTATTTCTTATATTCCAATTGTAGTTCAAGTATGTTTAGTTTGTTTGTATTTGTAATAACCATTATAGTTCTTTTTTCTATCTTATAATGATAATAATAATAATAATAATAATAATAATTTTTATGTTATGATTTCTTTAGTAATACATAAATATATTATCTCATCAAGGTTTTGTTGTGATTCATATCAAGACAATTAGCTTGTTGGAATACCAAATACCAAATATATATAAGAATGTAGGTATGGAAAAGACATGCCTAATGAGTTTATAATAACATTATAATGTTCAATATTATTACTATTATTCATCGAATTATTTATTTTTGCTACTTAAGCTTTGTTTATATAATTTAATATGCTTACAATGATTTTGATTTAGTAGAGATTTTTCTAAGATGAGTATAAAGGCAGCTTACACAATGTATATAATAAATTAAGGTTGATGGTCTTGGTGTTATCAAATGAATGTGTCAAAAATAGAATCTCATAAATATATAATAAATAAACTTTCAATATCCTTTGTAGATAGAAAGTCCTGTAATTTCTTACGTAAAATATTAACTATTAAGGAGAGGTTATTTAAAAATGATGAAAGATTGCAGAAAATGAGTTGATTATTTAAAAATACACAATTTTAATTTTTTAAAAAATTAACTCTTTAAAAAATAATTTTCAATGACAAAATTTTAAAGTCCAACAAACAACTATGCTTTATAAATAAATAAAATAATTAATAAACATTCATAATCAGAAAAAGATAGAATGAAAAAAATAAAAAAAAAGAGAAATATAATAAATCTATGAATTTGATTTACAAAAATTTGCTCGTGTTAAATCATACTTTATGTTTGCTTAACACACAGTAAAGGTCGTAAGTTCGAAACCGGGCACCAACAGTGCGGTGCGGTGCGGGGGGCGGATTTGTGCATCTCCGACTCCATCTAAGACAGAGAGGGAGGATGGGAGGCACTTTCGGCGCTGGGTGAGGTGTGGACACACACAATCGCCGAAGGAGGAGGAGGAGGAATGGAGGCGCAACAGCAGCAGCACTTCAGATTGTTGGGTACAACCTGAAATAACAAATTTTCCCTACTGGCAGCCGCCGCCGGAATATAGAATATAGTCCAGGGCAGTACTGAATTCGACATCGTAAGTAGCAAATCCCATCCCATAGCCAGCCCTCCCTCCCTCCCCTCCTTCCTTCTAACTATGGTTGACTACAGTGTCACGTTATTGTTGATCTCTTGGATTGACAATTTGTTTTTTTTTTTTTTTTTAATTTTAATTTTTTTGCAGTTTTGAAGGTTTAGTGCAATTGGATTGCATTGCGTATGTTCTGCATTCTAGGTCCTCTTTTGTCTGCGCCGTAGGTGCAATCGAGAGTTGAGTGGGAACAGAGACCGAGAGAGAATGTGTGTATGTGTGTGTGTGTGTGTGTGTTTGTAAGAGAGAGAGAGAGAGAGAGAGAGAGAGAGAGAGCGAGAGAGAGAGAGAGGGAGGGAGGGTAAGTGATCGTCGCAAGTTGGGTTGGAGAATTTTTCATGATTTCGGAGAATCTTGTAATGTCGGGAGACTTTGTATTGTTAGTGAAAACGAGGCTGTCAGACAAGGGCAGGTTGCTGAGAATTGCGTTTGGTGAGGAGGTCTGATTGAAGCAAGAAGGAGCGGGATGTCCGAAGGACAAGAAGGAATAGGGTTTTAGTTCGCTTAGTGAAGGCAGTTTGGATTTAGCGATGGCACATTTGTTGGCAGATCACTCGACGGGGGGGTTACAATGCCTCTGCAAGAGAGCCACCTTCGTTCTGTGCACTGCGAATATTTTGGTGGGGCTCTTCATGTTGCAAGCTGCTCTGATTCCCATCCACCATGATTCGTCTTCGTCCTCCGTCGCTCCCCGTGCCGACGACGTTTCTCCCAAAGGTGTGCGGTTGTTGGCCTCACCCACTCTTGCTATCTATGCATGCGATTCCCCAAATTCGCACGAATTACGTTGCAATTGCATTAAAGACAATGGCTCATTGCGTGACTTGAAGAGATCTTAGCAACCCATGTTCTGCTGATCATGGACTTCGCTCTGATAACGTGAAACTGTGTAGTTTTTTTTGTCTTTTGCTTTCTGGTGAAGATACCTGTAGATACTTTTGCCTGTCTTTGGAATCTGAGGGTGGTGGGAGAATAACAAGAGGATCGACATTCCATTCTTGTTTTACAAAGAAAAAGAAAAAGGAAAAGTGCTGATTAAAAAAGAGAATGATAGGAATCGAAGTGATGCAAACGCGTCCTACGGCGGAAGAGTTGGAGCGGATTGAGACTTCCAATCGATTGCGGCGCGAATTGCTTCCGGTTCAACTGATAGAACGGGTGGGTTTGTGGACTTAAATTTTCCAAGCACAAATCCTTTGGCATGTGGCAAATTTTGCACCAATTTTATGGCAATGTAGGTTCCTGATCTAACAGTGGAGGTTTCTACAACTGTCTCACTTCAATTCACTGAATACTACCCCTATCCCTCAATTATCCGCTGCATACTTAGACTTGCATCATGCGATTAGCTTTTCAGAGGGGTGTTCTTGACCAGGAAAAAATAGATAGTGAGAATTGCTGGTATTGTGGACTCCTTCACATCTGTTATTAAATGCAGAGAAATAATCCATTTACGACTGCATGTTGAGAGCGTGATCCATAAACAAACATAGAGAGAATTTTTCAGGTAGTGACCATGAGCGAATTATTAAGAATGCTTACACGGAATGGGTGTAATGATAAATAATGTTTTTATCTCCTAACTCTAAGCATTGAGTTTTGGACTCTCCTGATTATTAGCTTGCTGTAATGCATTGTGAAGGTGAAAGAGATTCAAAAAGAGACAGTGTCGGACATTAACAGGTCCAGGTTAAAAAATTTGGCAAGGCAGAAGGTAGCACTGGAGCTTGCTCAACGGCTGCGTGATCTTAAGCGCAATAACCATCAATACATCCTACTAGGTTATAACTTTCATCGATTCACATTCTACGCTGCCATTTTAACGTCGAATCCACAGCTGTACCACATTTATCTACAGTATCACTTCCAGTCGCTGATATCTGGCTAGGAACCAGCCACTTCCTTCAGTGATATGTTTTGGCTACACGCTGATCGGTTTGCATTGCTTTGTTTTAGGAGCACTTCAGGGATGGAATACGACAAATCTGGAGAAGACAAACAGTGTGACTGAAGCTACCGGGGGTTCGAATCATAAACTGAGAATACCAACTTCTGATTACTCGAACATTGAGGATAACACTAATTTTGTGCTGTATTATGCAGCTCTTAACATGAGTTTAGTGGCTTTTGAGCTCATTAATCTGACTAATCATAAAATGCTGGGCGTGGCAGGCGGTGAGGAGAAGGCAGTGGACCCTAAGGTTGCTATTCTTAACGAATGACCATCAAACGAGCTGAAATTTAGTAGCGGGCAGCCCACTGGGGAAGTTGACGTGTATAAAATAGTTTGATTCGCTGATTTCATCTCAAAGTTTTTTACGCGTCCACCACCATCACTAACCCTGATGAATTCCAACATTCTAAGTCATAGATATGTCATAGTCTTCAAAGTAAAACCAGTTTGCTACCTTAAACGATTATTTCATTTCACTGAAGCTAGACTAGAGGTGAATCGGTCTCTGAGGACCATGGTGCAGCCTACCAATTTTGACGGCATAACCATGTTTCATTGAATGAAGTCTTTCCTTACCTATGATTATTGGAAAATCATCACCAAATTATTATTTTTGTAATAAAATCAGTGACCTTCTGTGGCACAGCTGATGAATCTAGCTATCAATCCGACAGCTTTATTCTGGATCTCGTAAATGACCTCCGAACTATGCTTGTGTTTAAAACTCAGTTGTTCTTTGGGACTCCAGTGTCTTCATTAATCACACAGTTTTTGTTTACTTTTATTTAAATACAAATTCAATGCGTTTCACTTACCGATCTGCTGTTTGCTGCTTGTATTGTGGTATTACATTTGTCATCCTCCAACCTCAGTATTCAAAATTCTGTGGATGTTAATTTGCCTCAATTTGCAATGACCTCCAGAGGGGATCCTTCAGAATCGGAACGGTATCTTTGTGAATTGATAAGACAATTTATCAAACAGTATGTCAATTTTTTTAAATACTAAAAATGAATTGTATACTGAATAAAAAAAAACTTATTACAATGACTGTGCATGGCGAGCCTACCAAAACAATACACAGTACAAGTTAGAAAAATGTTTCTTGTACTAATGTATATTTTATTTGCTCAAATACAAAATTGGGGTCCAACTTTGTAAATTTTTGTTGATTAATCTTTTAGTGGATAGTGATTCAAACCCGTACATACTTTTTATTTAATGTCTTTTAATAAAAACATGTTGATCAAGCTTTTTTGAAATGGTTCAAATCTTTGCAAAAAATTATAAATATTTCTATCAACTTCAAGAGGCTCTACATCTGTGTAAAAAATTCTAAAATAGAAGTAAGGAAGGAAGGAATTATTTATTGCAACAATTAAAAACAAAATGATGTACATTGAAGACATTAAAAGTAATTGATTCTTGATTTGTTATTTATTTATTTTTTTTTTATTTATTTGATTTAGAATCCAAATTGTGTGTATTACTTCATCTCAAATGTTAACTTGTAGAAAATCACAACTTCATGGAGAAATGAAGTTATGAGAGAAAAAAATCTATTTTGATATAAATAGAATCAAACTATAATCTAGATCAATATGAATTTGCTTATCTTTTTGTTGTGGTGCCATCAAGGCCTTTATTTGTTGTAGCAAAGATGATATGGCATTTGGTAATGATTTTCACAATCATTGTGTTCTGTACACACATATTAATTCCTAAAATTTATAACTCATGATACAACATATTGTAGATAACAAAAATAAATAAAGTAAATTTAGGAGAATATTATATAGATTCATATTTTTACTAAATTGACCTACCCATGATGAAGAATATGGTAATCATGATGAATGTGGTTGGTTTTCTTTGGTTTTGGGTCCATAGTGGAGAAATGAGTCTAGAGTTCAATCAATTAGTTAGTTAGTTAGTTAGTTAGTTAGTTTTTTTTTTTTTTTTTTTTTTTTTTTTTTTTTTCCTTCTTATTTCTTTCTTTTTGTGATGGCTAGGATGGGTGGATCAATTTAGTAAAAGCCTGGGTCTATTTAAAATTCCTTTTGAACTATTTGATATGAATAATTCACAACTTGTTCTTTATCCACACAACAATGGAGAAAGGAGAAAAGATGTAGCATGCTCTTGTACTTGGTATAGCAAAGTTTCAAACTGTCTTGACAATTTACAATTGACATAACTGGTTTGCAAAATACATATCACAAGAAGATAAACATTATAAGAAGACTACAAACTTGTTTAATTAATCTAAACAAGGCGTTACTTCATAACTTGTATGGATGATTGATATGACAATAGGAGTTCACAAATTGTAAGACTCACATCACCAAACATACTCTTCATGCATCCAGTGATGTACCAATTTATCAAGTGGGTCAGTAACTGAGACATCCATACATAGATTGTTTTATAATTAATTAATTAATTAATTAAATTAGTTCCTCAAGTTTTATATATTTAACTATATATCAGTTAATCATGAATGTATATTAATTACACTACTATTGAACTTGTTACATAATTCTTTACTTAATACTGAGTAGATTCGGTACTTTTGTTTCTTCATGAAAGTTTGAAACAGTCAAAGGGAACGCATCATCCATCCAATCATAGTTCATCCATCCATAAGTTCATTCATCTACCCGAGGCCACCATAAATTCATTCATCCACCCAAGCCACCATAAACCCTAAACCCGGAGGGGCTATGGGGTTTGCCCCTCGCACTGTGAGCATTGAGAGGAGCACCAGGCGCTTGGTTTCGCCACTGCTCGCAGGGGGTTGTGGACATTGCTGTGTGTCTATCTGTAGACTGTCTCTCACGCTGATTACACTTCACTTGTTCCACAGATGGTGGAGAAGAAGAAAATGATCCCGGGGTCGAAGAGAAAAAGCGTCGAGTCCTTTGGCTCGGAGCAGAAGAAGCCGAAGCGGATCACTCCCGTGCCCGTGGACAAGCCAGCTGCCTACGTTCCTGCTCCTGTGCCGACGGCTGCTGACCCCGTGGTGCCTAAATCCAAGAAGGAACCGAAGACAATGAAGGATCATATAGTTCGGGCTGATTTTATGGTGAGAAGCGTTTTTTTTTTTTTTTTTTTTTTTTTCCCTCTCTCTTCAAGGTTTCTTTTAGCGTTTGTTTTTTTTTTTTGTTTGTTTGTTGGACTCCTGTGTCTATTTGAGTCTGGATGGACGGAGGAATTTTTAAATTCTGCAACTGGTTCCTGTGGACTTCACAGCCTTTGGATACTACAGCGGACCAGAAGGCTTTGGCGAAACAGCGAAAGAAGAGCAAAGTTATTCCTGTCTCGAATTTCTCGGGCTCAGGAAAGTCGGCTGTGATATACGTTGGCCGTATACCTCACGGATTTTACGAAGAGCAGATGAGAGGTATTGTGTGGGGGTTAATTCATTCAACTCGCAATTAGCTAAATTTCTGAATACATTTTTCAGTTTCAACTTTGATCTTAATTTTAATTCCGGAGGGTTGGAGTATACTTTGCCATACGATCAGTGATAAGTGGTATGATTTTGTTTTATGCAGGTTTCTTCGGCCAATTTGGAGATATTAAACGACTTCGACTATCTCGAAATAAGAAGGTTAGTGTTTTCTAATGTTGGTTGTCGTCAACAGCACTTTGACGCTAGTATCTGAATTAACGTTCGAGCCCGGCTAGTTTCGGTGGTGGTTAATCGTGTACATGGTAATACAAGTAATTTTTGTTTTTTATTTTTATTTGTTGAAGTTACCACCTCAAATTCCCTAACCTTGATGTTGACAGTAAATCACTCTGTTCTCGGTTTATGAAAGCGTGCGCGTACAATATTTGTTTCATTGATACATTAGATTTCGTTTTTGTATTGTTAGTCGGTTTAGAATTTCTGGTGCATTGGTGGCAAGAGAAGAAAAGCTTCAGTCTCTTTGAGTTAGTTCGACAGGCTTGCCATGCACACTTTCTCGCATACCTACGTTCTCAGTTCTATATCTGGCTTCTGAATGACAATGCATGCCTCACGTTCAGATTCCTTTTCAAACCAAATTAGTATGCCGCACGATTTTAACAATTTGGTTTCTACTCGGTTTACAGACGGGGAAATCGAAGCATTACGCATTTATCGAATTTGAATCTGCAGAGGTAGGTTTAAGACAACGCTCTTTCAATTTTACAAATTCCTGAATGAATTGTGAAAGTTTTCGGATTGCATGGCCGAGCTTAAGCTTAAAATGGCATTATGATTACACAGGTAGCGCCTATTGTGGCTGAAGCTATGCACAACTACTTGTTATTTGAGTCGATGTTACAAGTCAAGGTCGTCCCCGTTGAGAAGCTTAAACCATCAATGTGGGTTGGAGCAAATAAGACATTCAAGAAGATTGAATGGCAAAGGCTGGAACGAGAGAGACATAACAGAGTAAGTTAACATAGATTTGAGAAGTTATTGGCGATGAGAGTCGCAGCTACGTTGAAATGTTGTTACATCCGCTACGTCTATTTCGGCTCTCCATTGTTGATGTCAAATTCACATGGGATGGGCTAGGAAAGGACACGGCTCTTACAGCGTGTTGAAAGTTGTGACTTCTCCTGTCCGTGCATTGTTGTTCTTAATGGAGTCTTTGTGCAATAGATGAGAACCCCGAAGGAGCAGTCGCGTCATCTTGCATTGTTGGTGAAGAAGGATCAGGCCCGAAGGAAGAAGCTGCAAGCCGCTGGCATCGACTATGATTACCCCGAGCTGGTAGGCTTTTTATGTGCAACGTTGCCTCATTGCTTCATTTGAACTATTGAATGGCGTAGTGTTGAATCTGCTTCTTCCCGTTATTGTCTGAGGGTGTACTCACATACTGGCGTCGTTGTCGATCTGCGAACTTGAAGTCCACAACACGTCACCTCTAAATACTCATTATCTCTTTTGCTTTGTGCAGAAAACCATGATACCACCTTCATCCAAGAAAATTACGTTTAACGACAACGATGATTAGGCAGATATATATGATTAGGATATCACTTTGTAGTTAGCGATGATTGTTCAACATGTTTGGGATCGCAGAGGACAAGTAACTCAGATAAGTAGCAAGCCAAGTCTGAAGTCTTTCCTTCACCAGACTGAGGACCGAACACTGTAATTCTAGCTTTTAATTGCTTGTTATCTTTCGATGTTGGTTTTGAAAGTAGTGTTTGCAGAATCGCGGGCTCTAGTTGCGAGAATTCTAGGTTTATAGTATTCGACTATTTGATTAGGACAGGATATCGTAGCATTTTTGATACTTTTAAGCACAATTCTTTTGGTGCAAGACTTGCAGGTTTGCTGTTGCACAGTACATATAAAGAAGGCGATGGGATCCTACTGCGCGAGAGATTAGATTGGTTTTATCCTGCTTTAGAAGGGGATGAGTACAATCTGCGTTAAATGGGATCGATGATCACTCTGGAAGGAATCACTTCCTAAAATATTGTGTATCGAGAGATAACATTGACTTGCGTGTTAGTGCGTAGTTATGGTTCCTTTTATTTTTGTCCTTTCCCGTGTTGATAACAGAGATAAGCCATGAAGGTATGCATTATTGGTTCAGCGAATTTTTGTTGGTTTTGCATCGATGTCTTAGACGAGTTCTCTGAAACACTAACCAAGGCTACTAGCCAAAGCGATCGATTTATATATATTTCTGTTCGGATTTCGTACGTCTTGTCTACTTTTGTTCTAACTCCAACACACAATGTCAAGTTCCGAATTACATTAATAACCGGGTTTCTTGAGAAGAAGATACAGGGCATATTTATAGCAGCTGGTTACGAGTGCCTAAAGAAGGTTATTTCTGCAGTTGGTGAGTGGCATTCACACTAATTGATAGTTTCTTGTGTGTAAAATCAATTGACAATGTCCAATTGTAAACAGTACCTCACTAATTGATGCACACCATTGAATTCAGATGTTATTTTCCATATTTAATTTGATTAGTTCTTAAAATACACAATTACATACGTATGTTAGTTTGTTTGCAAATGCTCTGATAATGAACAGGAGGCGCTATTATGAAGACAAAACTCTACATATCTAATTCATTATATCCATTCATACATTTCAGAATTTGGGCTTCTACATATGTTTTTGCCGAAAGTAAATCTCTAAAATCCTCTACGGTATCCATACGGAGAGAGAGTTGCAAATTTTCCAACTGCTAACAAACGAAATAGACTATGTTGAAAAAAGTATATATTGTTCATGCTAACCTACTCATCAAAATTTTATGATCTACTGAGTGGTTAAGGACACGAATCATCTCTTTGAACTCTTACGCTCTTTGCCTCCAGCCTTGCCACCAGACTTGCCACCAAATGAACTCTTTTTACCCGATTTTCCACTAGGAGCCATCCCCTTCCGTGACCCTCCTTTCTTGAAGGCGCCCTCTGCTCGCTTCTTACCACCGACCTTCTTAGAAGGCTTTCCGCTCTCTTCTACGTTGTGAGCCCTTACAGCCTGCCAAACAGACCAGTTTCAGTAAACGATCACCCAGTACTCATAACCTCATATTGAAATTTCTTACTTGTGCTTATAGTTTTTAAAAATATGAAACTGTTCTTCCCATTACAAGTTCCTTGTTTGAATAGTAGCAAGAATAGCATCAATCCAGACCAGGTATGAAAATAAAATGCTTCAAACTCAGAGATACAAACATCCTCAGCTCAAACGTATGAATAGAGTAAATCACCTTATTGACATCAAGGCCACTAAAATCATTTTCAGCCAACACTTTCTTCATCACGTTTGTTATCAGCTCCTTTTCTTTGCCTTGTCCATCAACCACCGGCAAGAACTGCGTGCATAAAACCAGTCGAAAAATTAGTAAATGGTAATGCCAGTTTACCATCGCTAGATGCTAGATAGTAACGTATACGTAATTAAAACAAAGACCGCTTTTTATGATTAATACCTTGCGGTGTTTTCCTAACTTTTTTGCAGGTTTTTCCCCAGGCAGTTTTTTGTCAAACTTGCCGATGCTAGCAGTAGCTGTGCTCGCAAGCCCAGCAGCGTCCCCGAGATCGTTCTTGCTAAGTTTTTGACCGGGTTGCTTACCGCCAGTTACAGCTAAAGATGTGGCAGCCAACTGCAAGGTACTGAGTTCAAAAGGCAATACACGCATTGTAAGTTAAACAAGACACAGAACATGGTTTTTAACTTCAAAAATTGATAAACTTCATATATGAAGAAACTCAATAATAATTTTGTTGGCCTTATTGAAGGACGCCACCCACATCGATTAAAAAATGCTGAAGGAAACGAGAGGTAGTTTAATGATAATGGAGAAAAAAATAGCATACCTAGGAAGTGCGCCCTTGCCTCCTTGTTTCGCAGCCCTCTTCAAATTCTCCAATTGATTTTTGTCCTGTTTGGCAACTCTTTCTTTCTTACTTTCACGCAATTTCAAGAATGGATCTTCTCCAGGTTCTGCCAAAGGAGTAGCGTAGAGTTCAGTACATCTCAAAAATCAACATAACCATGTAGGAAACAGCGTCGACTCGACGAACTTCGTTAAGAGTGAGTAACGCAGTTTATCAATCACAAAGGCAATACTTTTCTGTTGGTTGTAATAAAATTGGCGTTCCGAAACCACCTGATACCCGTATTCAAGATCTGATGTTGCATGCATTCATACAAAAAGTTCAAGTATCCTCACATAAACTATCCGAAAGGTATGGTTAGCTTTCAGGTAGTGCTATTCCACAAGATTTTAGCATAAAGGGACAGAGAGGTGCGGATTCAAGTACCGTCTCCAGCTTTAGCTTCAATAATAGGAATATCATTCTCGTCGTTGACACGTTTGTATCCATGCCTCCGCCTCCATTCTTCTTTGCCCTCGTCAAATTCCAACTTACTCCTCTTCCGCTTCTTAATACCTATTCAAGATAGTCCCCATGTACTAAGTTAGATTACTTCCACCGCGTCCAATACCAACCTAAACTGCATTCCAGTCTCCGAATTTCCCAGAAACGCTGCTTCTTTCAAAGCAGTCCACAAGCCAAAGGGAGAGTCCTGACAAAGATTATACCAAAAAGAAAATCAGAGTCAGCAATTCATCAATGGAAGCTCACCTTTAGTTTGTGCAAAAGCTTCCCACTTAGTCATCGGTCTAGGCTTAGGGAGCTGCAAAAAATGCCAAATTCATTGTCCTTGTCCAATACAAGTCGATTTCAAGCGCTCTCTTAAACAATGTCTAAAAAAAGTATAGCTATCCTCGTAAAACCCTGAATAATACACTCCCAGACAATAGAACAGTTACCAGCCCCTGGCGCGAAACACAGACGAAACCCTCCAGTACAATCCCACATCTGGTCAAATTTCGAAACGTACCGGCTTCTCTCTTGGAAGCTGAAAGCTAGGTTTAGGCAAAGTGACTAAACGCCCGGTCTTGTCAACCGTCGATGGCATGTTGAAAAGCCTGTCGACAAGAACCTGCACCAGATTCCGCCCTTGCTCCACGTACTCCACATCCCTCTCCGCCCTGAACCCAACAAAATTTCTATCAATCTCTTCCAGCCCAACTCGTAAAAGACAACAACCCTAACCCAATCGCCACAAATGAAGCACTAGAGGCTGCTGGACACAGCCCAGAAACACGAATACTCACTCGGACATGGCAGTGCCGTTGGAGAGGGTGACGGGATCGCGGTAGTGCGCGACCAGCAGATTGCCGAGGTCAAGCTCGTGCTCGCCTCCGGCACCAGGAAGCGTTTCGATCTCCATTTCCGAGGCCATGGAATCAGTGATGGCGGGGCAGGAAGGGAGCTCCGTCGCGGTAGGGGCAGAAGAAGCTTTGAGGGCTCCAAGTCTTCCTCAGCTCAGGGTTTAGGGTTTTAAGGCTTCACGGGGCACACGAGGGTGGCGATGTTCCCATCCGCTGTTCAACTACACGTTCTCTTGTTCTATTGGACCTTGAAGTTTGAGGGGTGCGTTCCCTCTGGGCACCACCATCCACAGCCTGTATCTTGCCCTGCATATTTCACGTCATTCATCTTTGGGCCCTTGTGGTGCTTCTGAAACTCTCTCTCTCTCTCTGTATATATGTATATATAAAGAGATACTTGGATAAACCATGTATGTTTAAAAAAACGCGATTCAATTTCACTCTTGGATTTTTAAAAGTTGAACAGAGGTTGATGAAAAAATAAAAGAGGCATCTGAGGGTACAGCACTGTTTAGAAGTAATTGTGGCGTGAATTGACTCATGTTGAAGGTTTTACCATTTTTCTTATATGTGTGTATCTATATATATATATATATATGTATATTGGTGTGGTATACATAGGATATGACAATAGGTTTCTATCACCTAATTGTCTATGTATTATTTAAAATAAAATTATATGTACAATAAACTCTTTCTAAACTAATATCCTTAGGATTGGATGGATGATATTAGTTTATGGAGGTTATTAAATTTCAAAATATTATATGAATATTATGAATTTTCCAAGAGTTTGTTTTAACAGCTAGAAGGTCATGGAATATTAAAAAGGTAGAGTTTGCTAATATAAAAAAGACAATTCTTAGCTTTCACAAGAAGACTTGATCAAATGGCTCAAAGATAATCACAACATCAAGGTTAGCTAAGGTACCATTTCTACCACATTGAAAGGGTGAATTGAACTTTTTGCTAAATTTGTTGATGAGAGCAATCTCAATGCCAAGCAGTAGTAGACTATTAAATATCCAAAGATGGAGATTGTACTAATCAAGTGGTTGTAGACAAATCGAGAGCATGCAAATATGAGTGGTGAGCTTATTAGAGAGAGAGACAAAATCTTGGTCTTGCTATATCTTGATTACAAGCCTTTTAAGTTTTTCATTAGCTTACTAGATGCATTAAAGTCTTGCTATGGGATCCTATCTCAACTCCACTTTGATAAAAATGACAATGTAGATATGGTTTTACTTACTAATGCCCTTCTAGCTATCTGCAACATCTTTAATGAGTATGTATAAAATGACATTTATAATATGGACAAAATTGACATGTTCTACTAGATGTAAGTAAATTAAGATTTTGTTTAGAAGTTCCTTACTGTAAATTTATAAATATGTTCTTAGTCATTTACTTTCTAAGCAAATCATATTCTTACAAGAAAATAATACAAGGAACACAAGGAAAAAAAGAACAGATCACTCTTTCCATTTGTTGTTATGGTGATAGTAGCGACAAGTTCTCGCTATAGATGATTGAAAAATACAAGAATCCACACTGCTTTGAGAACATTAATACAAACACACTCAGATGCCAATACCAAAACAATTCCAATGCATGGATTATACAAAATATTTTCCTAGAGTGGCTGAAGGAGTTTGACTTACATATTTTAGGGTGCAATGTCCTCCGCATCATAGAATACTTCAATAGCCACATTCACCTTGACTAGCTTTCTAATCACATCTAATCAAAGAACACCACATTTTTTTTTTTTTTTTTTTTTTTTTTTTTATCTTCTTTCAAACACCAAATTTAAGATCTAGCTTTGCAATGCTAGAATCATCTGCAATTTCAAGGCGTACTTCCATTGTTGCTTTAACCATCTTCTTTTGCAACATGTGGCCAAGCTAAAGAAGATCAACATCTTATATGCCATTTACATGGCCATTCTAATAAAGAGGTCTAAAGTGAAATCAAGAGCAATTGCAAATTGCTTCTAGCATTGCAAATCTACTCAATTGAAGAATAGATGGTTGATGTTGGCAAGGACTATTCACTAGATTAAGAAGTTTAAGATTGAAAGTTGCAAATATGCCAATTCTATTTTTGCAATCCAATGGACATCAAAAACCTTTTGAATTATTTGTAGGAGTATGTTGAGGAATGCTAGATGTGAATGATAATATAAAGGATCAACTTGAGGAATGCTTTGGTTAGATTGATGTCAATGAAGATGATGGAAATATCAACCAAGAGCTCCTAAAAGTGAGTGTTGGTGAAGCATACAAGATGGTCAAGATGGTTAAAAAGTTCTAAATGCAATATGAAAATTTTGGCATTCTTTTTGTTGTCATCATGTAAAAGATGAAGAACATTGTGAGTATGATTAAGACAAAGCAACTGATGCAAAGGAGCATCGACAACTTTTTCTAATATATCTAATTTTTTAGTTTTATTTTAGTTTTTTTTTTGCTTTTTTTTTTGCCATTATTGCAATCGAGCTATGAAATTTGTAGGATAAAAAAATAATATTGAATATCATTTTATACAGATTTATTAGATTGAGTATGAAGTGCTTGTTAGGAATGATGTCTATGTTTTAGCTTAAAGATAATATTAATTAAGAAAATATTAGTTTAAAAAAAATTTACTATATAGAAAGTATTTTTTGTGTGATCAAGTGAATCATTTTGAGTTTAAAAATCAAAGATTGAAATCAAATCATATTTTGTTAAACTCATTTGATAGTATCAACAAATTCTTGTTGATATTATTATAGTATTTGTTTAGTACAAATTCCAAGTATATAATAAATGCTTTGCTTTAAATTTTAAAAATACATGAATTATGTAAGTAATCTTAGTAGTCAAATAAAAGTATGACTATTCAAACAAAATAACACTCTACGGTGTATTTCTTTTTTTAATATTATTTTTGCATTATACACCTTGTTCCAACCATATATGCACAAAAATTTGAAGTAAAAAAAATAAAATAAAAAAAATAAAAAACTTAAAATCTTGATATTTGATTCTTTTAGAAACTTGTATTTAGATGGATAAATAATTATTCATTAATTCGTCATACAAGAAGTGACTATTCAAATTTAAAATTAAAAAGTGACCCACAAGCCAAATCATCCACAATAAATTTGATTTATTCTAATTGTTTTTATTTTATTAAATTAGATGTTTTCTTTTTCAATTATTTGACTAAAATATTAATTTCTTGAACCCAATTTATTGATTTTTCTGTCATGCAATTGAACAAGGTTAAAGATAACTCCCAATTAAAACGTTTCCTGTTACAAATCAAACCATTTAAACCCTTCTAAAAGCCATACTTCAAAGGAGAAACAAACACTAACTACATGCTAAATTTAGATACATTCTGCTGAAAGAAAGAGTTTAAGGCTGTTCCATACTTAACACTTGGTTCAACTCCCTTAAAACAACGCAATTCAATAAAACCACCACAAATTCCACCTAAGGTTCAACCGTTTTTATATTAATTCATACGTACGGACATACATATGAATGAAAGCATTCAAGCCTTGTTGGCAAGTGACAACTGGGTAGAACAAAACGAACGAGTTCTTCAAACTCGCCGATATATATCTGAAGTTGCGCTACAGATTTGTGGTCAGAATCGTCCCCACTACACAGAACTATCAGTAATAATTCCTGGTTGTGTCTAATTCAACAGAAGGGTGTGATTCTAATGTCAAGAGTGAAGTTAACTCCTTGAAAACTTTCAACCTTCGAGCCCCATAGACTATGCTCTTTGATTCAGAGGCTAGACACAAGAATTGTCAAAACAATCTTAAAACAGCGTGCAGAGAATGTGTACAATCAAAGATGCTCTCTGGGACCTGGAAGAACAAAAAGGAATCGTGTAACAGATATCATACAATGAGATGAGAGCCTACTCGATTTTGTACCATGTGCCAGAAGGCAGTCGTGTAGTAGTACCATCTGTAGTTCCTGATTTGCCATCGTCTTTCTTTGGCTCTTCACTCTCTACAGGAACCGCATCCTGCTTCTGGCTACCAGATCCATCAGAGGACTCCTTTGGGGTGAAAGCTTTGTGCAGATCCTCAAACGAGACAGTTGCTGAGCCTCTACGCTTTGGACGCTGCTGTGAGACATCTGGGCTCCACCCGGCCATGTAGATTACCTACAGCATTCACCAGATTTGTGGGTTAACTCAGGCTTTTATTTCGAGCAGGAACGATGCCAGAGAGTACGAGAAGCCTGAAGGAATCAATTACCTGAAATGTGGCTGGAATGGTGCCATCGGATTCTCCAAACAACTCTTGATAAACTGCAGCAGTTGCCAGAGCTGTGTCCCGATTCACGGTCTGCATCATTAAATGAAATGCACGGCTGGATTACAAAACTAGTTGCTGAGATGACTGGCAGAGTGTAAGTCAATTGTGAGAAGAAAACGTAGAGGCTAGAGCTATTTACCAAGAGCCTCTGGCGAACAGCATTGGTCTCACCCATAGACCGTAAGTGATCAATCAATTCAAGTGCTGCACATGATAACATACAGAGGTGTCAATCTTACTGTTTTCTCTTGCATCATGTGATCACAGCCACAGATTGGAAGTCCAAGAAACTAATAAAAATATAAGGCCTTCCAAAACTCGGGTACAAAACTTCAAAACTTGCGCACAAAATCTGAGCACACAATCTCTCCAATGCTTTAGATCATGATAGAGACCAAACATACCACTGGGATAACGGACAGTTATCTCGTCTACGTCGACTGTTGGGAGTGCAAAGCCTGCCCTTGTTAAGAGATTCCCTGCATCTCGAACCTATTAACACGAGGAGCAGCTTTATCAATTATGGTTAAACTATTGCTTCACCAATTCTCTATGATGTAACTTGGTAGTATTTTTTGTTAGGTGACAACAAGATGCAGCCCGCACCAATTTCAACAATAATGTTTGTGCATTACCTGAGCAAGGGGAGAAACTCTAGGACTCACACCACTTTCGCGCTCCATTTGTGCTACAGTACAAGAAATTCGGAGCTCCCTGAAGAACGGCGTTGAGATTGGATTAAGCTCACAAGTTGTAAAAAATATTTCTGGAGGGATCTAGCACTAGCATACTAACTGCTGTTACACATCCAATCAACACTTGGTTGGACCACCAACAAGATAAATTATCATTCTTACAAAAAGATGTTTCTGAGTGTTTTAGGTGAAGAAGTCAACCTCAACGTTTCACCTCCGAACATGGTGGCTAAGAACAATCCATCAGGCTTCAGCGCAGTCCTGCACTGCGCACTTTTGACACTTTAGTCACACAAGTTATATGCATCGAAGACCCATTAAACCTTGAAACCCCACAAACTGAATTCCTAATGTGTTTAATGACCAGTTCAGTTACTGCAGACTTGCAAACAAGACGGTCTCAAACAGATGTGTTAGCAGTCTAATTGTTATAAAATAACTTGAAGCAATAAGCGCAATAAAATTCAAGTTGGGGATACCACACATATGAGATAAAGCTCACACATTATCAAGTGGAGAGTACCTGCGACATGGCGCCTGGAAGATCATTGACCCAGTGAAGGCCAAGAGAGCTTATTACAAGATCCAGGGAGCTGCATGTAGAACAATTACCGAGCATTTAGTCTAGATATTGGAAAAAAAAATGAGAAATCTGCAGATATAGAGTAAAAACAAGTATCTCCTTTGTGTAGTTGCAAACAAAACAATGAAATCCGGAATAAGTTGCATCGTCTGCAGAAGAGTAAGCATTTTTCAACCCTAGGTGTGTTGGGAAGTAAAAAAACATACTTTGGTTGCAATGGTATGTACTCTTCATCACCGACCAGATGCAGGTTCCGCAACGCTGGCCCTCTGCCTGTAGCTTCATCCTCAGCTGCTTTGATCATGGACCTTCTTATCATATCCTCGGAGATGTCCATGGATATCAACTCCTGAACACCACCTGCAGGATTCACACAATTCCATTCCTCAAATGACCTCTTTCAGGATAAGCGATAATACATATTAAAAAGATGTAAACGTTTTCTCAAGAGTGTCTCGAGATTCATATATTCAGTTGAGAACTCCATTTGCTTACCACGTCCTTGAAGCAATCGACGTACATGGTCAAATGCTCCACCAAGATTCAATGCTTTAGGGAACGTTCGCTTACAATCCTAAGTTACGAAAAATTCACCACCACATGTTAATAATTAGTAACAAAGTAGGAGGAAAGGAAAGAAGGACTGCTCTCCTATGAATTGTGAAGCGCCACCTGATTTCTCCATACCACATCCTTGACAAACACATAAAACATTAGCCCTACACAAAGAGAGAGTTTCCCAAATGGCATAGGTCTCATCCACGTACTTGCAGCCGATCGAGAAGACTCTCCGTGACAGTGTCCAGAATAGGGTCGCTATCGCTCATCAGCCATGCGGCCCTATCTCTCTGCCCAATCAACCACAAACATAAGCAATGCTGCCACCACAACCCCACCTCGTCCGACCCTCCACCAAAAACACATCAGCTCAAAATCCTCTTCAAAAACTCACTCCAGCTTCCAATTAAGAAACCCTAGTGTTTATCTCTACCAAGAGTAAAAAATAATGATAATATTAAAAAAAACAAACAATCAAACAAACAAACAAAAGCAAATCCTCCACCCTAAGCAAAACCAGGCGATTGTGTAGAATTCAATCAAAATCCGTAACGAACCCATCTGAGCACAACGAAGGGATTCACCTGCTTGCTCTTCAGCACCCGATCGAAAATGTCCACGTTACGATCACCCGGCACATCCAGCCCCGCAACGTGAGAATCCGAAACCGAAGAAGACAGGAAACGAATGGCGAGGTTGAATTCTGGTCTGCCTCCGGATCGTGCTCGGGAAACCAGCAACCCCTTTCGAAGAACACCTGAGGAGCTCATTGTGGGGGCGTCCCGATGCCGCACTGCGCGAGCTCGGCAGTGCTGCTGCGACTCAGAGTGAGGATTCGAGTGTTGGGTGCTGCGTTGCGAGGCGTGTCTGGATTGCATTCAATCCCGTCGACGCCGCTGCCACCGCCAGCAACGCTGCGGCGAACAGCAACACGAGGCGTTCCGAGCATGGGGTGAACGAATGATCGATGATACATTTATGATGGGTGCGACGCTCTCGTGGATGACGTTTATCTCATGCCAACCCACAAGAATTCTTAATACGAAATTGAACATGTTAATTTTTATGTTTTTGCGTTCATGAAATCATGGTAAACAGCTTTCAGTAGTTTTTAACAATACAATGTATGAAATTATAAGGAAGCGTTAATTAAGTAGTAAGTGAGAAAGAATTGTGACAAAATATTAGTTTTTTCAACTTCTACAAATTCATCAAAGTCTGTTGCATATTGTTTTCCCTACACATACAGAATTTCTTGACATCTTTGCACAACAAACGTTGCGCACATTGTCTCAAAAATTACCTAAAATACCATGTATGAATTATGCTTAAAAAGACTCTTGTAACCAAGATAATGTATATATTGTCTAGAAATGGAAGAAACTTGCTACAATTGGTACTTGCAGTCTTTCAATATATCCTACAAATTATGGTTTTTCCAAAGTCTCTTTTATGAGTGGAATTATGTCTTAATAACAATAGAGAACTATATACAGCGACTGACACATGTAACACTTCTTTTTTTGCGACCAACACAGTTTCTAATTGATGAGGCAACATCTATCTTTTCATAGGATACACACTCAATCCTCAACAATGAGAGACAATGACACAAGTCAATGCAGGCCTGACTCCAAAAATGTGTCTATCGACAACCATCGTAAGATAGCATTATGACAAGCATTGTACTAGCAGTCCTATGCCATGGAGGCTTAGAAGATATGTATAAAAGAGAAAGATTCAGCTGGCACCATGGCAAGATTTTTATCACTTAGATGATCAACTTCGATGAAAAAAAAAGATTACATATTCCCTAGAAGCCGATCAATTGCACCTTGTACATTCCCACCTACAGCACGAAGTAATGTAAGGGATTAAATTAGGCAGCTCTTACAGTAGTGAAAGCAACAAGAGTTGAGAGTTGCTCAATGCCCAAGAGCGATTCATAGTGGGGTGACATGAAGAGAGGTTGGGTGGGTCGCCTTCCTCGACCCAAAGGAGCTTTTGCATGGGGATGTGAAAAGAGTCGAGAGGACTTAAGTACTCCAGGTTCCGGGTACCTCGAGGAGCACATATGACCTTATTTGTAGGTAGAATGAATGTCGAGTAGACAATCTAGTCCTGAGGGGACCTAAAGGAGGAAGTGACCCCTTAGTCCCCTTGGACGTTGTCCACATGATGGTTGCTAATGGAAGAGGATGACATTGCAAGGTGGACGAGAGGTAGTCTTATCCAACATGGTGTGCCTCGATGACGGCGATGGACACTGACTCGATGAGAGTTTAGTATATCATGTTCCAAAGCAACCTCATAGGGAAACACTTATTCTTTCTTGTCGTAGCCGGATGGGCAGCGTGAGTCTTAGAGAGCAAAAGTAAGAATGTATCATGAACGTTTCAGCATTGTATTTGCTCGATTCTAACGTGACTTATATATGATGTTTTTTCAAGGGATTGGAGGGATCTCATAGGAGTGACGTTATATGTGGTATCAAATCATTTAAGACCAGGATTGGCGAAAAGCGTACGAGTGATGATTTTCTAAACCATTTGTCAGTAAAAAACTGTGAAGAATGGAGAAGATGACCACAAAAGCTTTGATCCAATAGTTGGATGATGAAGAAGTTTTAGAAGGAGATTTGTCAGAGATCTAGGTAAGTCAGGACCCAAAGCCAAGATAAGAACTGGTTAAGAAGAAATCCACACTCAAGAAAGAGAATTTGAGCCACTTAGACAGAGACAACAAAGAAATTCAATGAGAGGTAGAGGATATTACAAAAAGACTTGCGATTGATGTTGAATCTCCGATTCAGTTAAGTAAAGAAGAGATGAGTGACCAAGAGGGAAGGAACTTGAGGTCACCAAGACAAACAACATCCAAAACTTTGAATCACTCAACAGATTTACAAACGGAGCGACATGGAGTCGTGTCCTTACTCAAAGTTGAGAAAATCGTTTCAAAAATGATGAAGAGAAAAATCGAGAATTTGAGAAGAAGATTGAAGTGATTCACCTCTTGATTGATTTTTTGGTAAGAAAAAACATGAAGAAAGAATTGTTGTTCGAGAGTCAGAAGAGTAGATCGAGCTCCTATTGAGCAAAGACGGATCAACCAAGAAACTGGTGGGACAAAGAACAAAGAAGAACTACTAAAAGGTTCCTAAAGGAAGTGGAACACTAGCACATGGCTAATGATGTTGAAGATGATGTCGATAAAATCAAGACTTTATCATCATTACTCAAAGGAAGTTCATTAGATTGGTTTGATGGAGAAATCAAAGCCAATTCTAACTATACCACAGAAACTATTTGGTGTGAAGTTTGTGAGAAATTAATAGGAAGATTCGAGAGCAAGTGGCAGAGCTTTGTAGAAGGACTACAATTGCTTAAGCTCATACAAGAAGCAGGCAAAACCTCACTTTTAAAATATGTCGATGATTTCTAGTACCAACCGGCGAACACTCAGTTAGACTATGAAAAGTATTTGTTGCTTTTCTTTTATAATGGGCTAAGTGTTTCGACCAAAAGAAGATATTGGAAGAGAGAAACTATCCCTACTAACCTCAATGATGCTTTTACGTTAGCGTCGCAATTGAAAATGGAAGAACAAGGGCTAAGTCATAGCGAGACGAGCGCAATGACTAGAATGTGGGAATGAAAAACCAACCCGTATGGTGGAGCTAGGCCTTCCACAAGAAACCTCCATTTGCTAAGAAGAAATTTGAGGAGCCCACCCCAAATTTTTCTAAACTTAGGATGAAAGAAAGCCAAGGAAGCAGTTCAAAAAAGGTGAAAATGAACGTGTCAGTGACGTGCTTTCGATGTCAACAAAAGGGACACTATGCCAATGACTGTAAAAATGAAGAAGTGGCAAAAAAAGTAACCACCATCCTTAATACTTTTCAACGTGTGGTTGAGATGGATCAAAATTTTGACATCTCAAAACTTAGCACATGAGTCTTGGAGAAAAAAGGGAAGTTTGATGAGAAATTTGTCCTCACCAATCCACACAAGAAACTCATTTATTTAGACTCTAAGGTGGAGAGTACAGAAGTGGCCATGTTGATTGACACAAGGGCAAACAAGTCGTTTATGAGCCCAAGATGCGACGAGAAATTAGCGCTAGCTGAAGCATTGACTAAGGAAGTATAGGTATTCTTTGCTAAGAAAGGAGAGATATCTCGCTCGGTCGTAAGATGCGTGAAGATTCAAGCTAAAAACAAGAGGTTTTAAGAAGACTTCATAATTTGCTACCTCAGTGGAATAGATGTAGTGTTAGGAAACACATTTCTAGAACGATATGGAGTGGAGCTCCGTTGGAAATTAAAAATTGCACGTAGTGATTGGGAGTGCAAGGGAACACCATAGGACTACCCTTCACCAACCTCCCAACATTGTATGAATCAAGGATTGCGCTTGTTACTCAGTATGAACTAAAAAGAGAACAATTTCTCTTACATTTGAGAAGTGGCGACCTCAATTGCAATGATGTAAGTGAGAAAGTTGTTAATAAAGACAGATGGAAAAGAACCATTCTTTTTTCTTTGAAATTGGTACAACAACTAATGTCAAATTTTGGTAATGTCTTGATTGTAGATTTACCAAAAGCGCTGTCACCGAGTAGAGTGGTGGACCATCGTATTGAATTACTTCCAGCAGCACAACCTCCAAGCAAGGCGCGTTATTGATTGAACCAACTTGAGTTGAAGGAATTCAAGCAACAATTGAATGAGATGTTGGAAAAAAGGGTACATCAAACCAATTAAGTCTCCATTTGGAGCCCTAGTCCTATTTGTGAGCAAAAAGGATGGAAAAATGAGGATGTGTATTGATTATCGAGCTCTAAATAAAATCATTGTGAAAAACAACTATCTATTACCACAAGTTGATGACTTGTTGGATAGGTTGAGTAGAAGTAGATGTTTCACTAGGATCGATCTTAATAGCGGATATTATTAGATAAGAATGATGCAAGAGGACATGGAAAAGACAACATATAGGACAAGGTATGGTTCCTATGAGTTTATCGTAATGTCTTTTAGATTATGCAATGCACCAACAACTTTTATCATACTGATTAATTCGATTTTTCATGAGGAAAGTGATGAGTTTGTAGTCGTGTACATTGACGACATTTTGGTGCTTTCTAAAAGTGAAGAGGAGCATCAAAGGCATCTACAGACAGTGCTCATGAAGCTAAGGAAAAACCGGTTGTATGTAAATTAAGAGAAGAGTGTCTTCTACTTGGAAGAATTGGAATTCTTTGGACATATCATCAGTAAAGAGGGAATTAAGCCAGATCTAAGAAAGATCTAGGTGATCTAGATTTGGGAGAAACCCAAAACGCAGAAGGATGTGCGATCCTTCTTCAGGCTAGCAAATTACTATCAAAATTTTATCAAGGACTTTTCAAAGATTGCTGGACCTTTGACAAATCTTTTCAAGAAGGAAAGCAAGTCTATAAAGTGGGACAATCATTGCAATGAATCCTTCAAAGGGATTAAAGAAGCATTGATTTCTAGTTCGATATTGGGCTATCTGTAATTTGATAAAGATTTTGAAGTTCATATGAATGCGAGTGACTTTGCCATTAGAAGAGTAATGATGGAAGAATAGTGGCCCGTTGCATTTGAGAGTAAGAAATAGAGTGGCAGTTAGTTGAGGTGGCCAATTTATGAGAAAGAGTTGTTCGTGGTGTGTGAGCCTAAAATCCACCACTCTATGGATTTAGTACTACACAACGAGCTCAAGAGGTAGAATGGAAGAACTCCCAATTGTGAAATTGTTAGGTTAATTAAAATGTGGGTGTTTGTAATTCAATTAAAATTAACACCTTCCAAGCAATGGTTACCGATATTAAATTAAAATATCAGATGAAATTCACCACACAAAAAAATGATAAAATTAATTAATTAAGTTTTTCTTATTAATTCATAATAAGAATAAAAACTTAAGTTTAAATTAAAAGTTAAAAGTTAAATTAAAAGTTAAGTTAAAATTTAAAGTTAAAAATTAAAGTTAAAAGTTTAAAAAATTAAGTGAGAATATTAAAGGTTAAAAATTGAAAAGTTAAAATTTATTAGTCAAAAGTTGAAATGTAGAGATTACGAGTTACTGTGAAGATAAAAGTAAAAATAAAATAAGAGGGGTAAAAGCGAAGGTACCTTGACAATGCCAAAGATTGAAGGAAACGACCCCCTTCTACTCCAAAATTCGCCAAAACTTTTAATTAGCTCCAAATTGAATGATTCAGAAGTTGTTGCAAGGTTAACTTAAAGAAGCTCCTGTCCCAACAAATTTCATTGCAATCTAGTGATCCAGTTGTGAGAATTGCTCCTTTGAAGTTGAGTGATCCAAACTGCCGCGGCGACCAACCCCCTTCACTTAGAAATTTGCTAAAAATTCAAATTGACTTAAAATCCAGCAAAACTTGTGCCCTTCAAAGTTTAGCTTACAAATCTTGATGCTCCCAAAATTTCAAACGAATTAAGTTATCAGGCACTGAGAAATGCCTTCCCAAACTCGATTAATCCAAACTGCGAAGGCAGTCGACCCCCTCACACTCAAACTTTCACCAAAAATTCAGTTCAACTCCAAATGGAGCGAGTCTTATCGTGTTGGAAAGCTAACAACAAAAGCTAAAATAAAAAAAAAAATCACATTGGAACTAAAATATTTGAATGACTGATGGAGGGAAATCTGAGGCTCTTGAAACCCTTGGAGTAATTGGGAGGCCAAGGGAGCTATTCACCACAATGAAACGTGTTTTAAGACCCAATGACTATCATTCACAACTCAAAATCCATGCACACCCACCTAAAAAATTCACAATGAGATTTAAAATCTAAATGAAATTAAAATTAGGATTTTTGGCCAAATTTTAGCATGGCTTCACCCTTCACCAAAAGAGGAGAGAGAGAGGGCTTGGAAAACCAAGCCTTGCTTATACAATTGAGTGGAGGCTCGTAAAAAGGTGGCTACATCTCCACCCTTGATTTTTCAGATCCCTAATCTAGATCTACGGCCTTCGTTCATTCAAGAGCCAATCTCATTATCAAGGCTGATGGCCCTTGTAAGTGGTCAAGAAGGCATTTTTTTTTGTAAATCTAACTTCACTATTGTGTTCAAAACAACTTTTTAAGCTAAGATCGACTACTCACATGCCCCAATCCATGCTCAATTATAATTTCCATGGAAGTTTTTACTTACAAGGATCTTGGCAATTTTTTTGTGAAATTCTTCAAAATGAGAATTTCATTGCTTCTCTTGTATTTTGAAGGAGAGGTTGCTGATCTTGTTTTCTTCACCCCAGGAGGTAAATCCGGTGCCACCATTGCATTAAAGAGACTCCCATTAAGTAAAAGAACCACCATATTGCTTAAATTTGCCGAATTTGGAGGAAAAATCCAAAATTACCATTGCTAACTTCCCTAAATCTTTCAGAGAATTATAATTCCAACCCCTAAATCATGTGAATGATTATAGATGTACCCATTGGCTTTTAGTCAATCCTTATAGTAATGACTAACAACCTCTAAATTATTAAACTAACTAAGTTGCTATTCTAATTTTCTAACTCTTGTCACTTTAGTCCTAATTAACCTAATTCAAGGAATTAGGCTTTGATTTATACCATGAGGGGTTGTAATCCTAAAAATTCTATAAAACTGAATTCTACTTATATAAATCCTAATCTAACATGTTTAATTATTGTAAAATAGGAAAATAATAAAAATTTAAATTTTAGAGTATAATTGAGAGGTGACATGTGGCACACCATCTGTGGGCTATTTGCCATGTGAATAGAATGGATCCTTGAGTCTCTTGTATACAAAGGTAGTGTTTTGTGCAAGGACATATGGTCAATAGAAATTCAAAGAATAAGGTTCTTAAAAACAATAAAATCATAATATAGAATCCAATATCAAATCCTCTCTATTCTAATATCCATTTATTAATATTATAAATTAAAATATTGGAACTCATCCTTCTTCCTCAAGTAATGTCAATTTGGAGTACTATAGAAAAATAATTAGAAGTTAAAATGTTGAAAATAAAAATAACCATGTCCTCCCTTCTTAGAGTAAATTCTTGCTTTATTCATTAGTTATTGAGGTTTAAATATATTGTAGGAATTACTAGGGTTTGATTTAGGATTTAGAATTTGGTTAGAGTTTGGTTTAGGGTTTAGGGTTTGGTTAGGATTTTATTTAGGGTTTTGTTAGGATTTAGTTTAGGATTTAGGATTTATATTAAGATTTGGTTAGGGTTTGGTTTAGGATTTAGGATTTGTATTAGGATTTGATTAGGGTTTTATTTAGGGTTTGGATTAGAGTTTGATTTAGGGTTTAGGATTTGGATTAGAATTTGGTTAGGGTTTGATTTAGGGTTTAGGATTTGGTTTAGGGTTTGGTTAGTGTTTGATTTAGGATTTGATTTAGAATTTGGTTGGGGTTTAGTTTAAGATTTATTTAGGGTATGATTCAGGGTTTAGGATTTTATTAGGATTTAAGATTCAATTAGTTTTGGCCTAAAGTTTGAATGAAGTTCAATAGGATTTTAACTAGAATTAAATCAAGATTGAATTGAGATGTATTTGAGTGATATTTGTGATCCTTCTAATATTTCTTCAAGAATTCTTATTATTTGTTTGAAATTTCTTTGAGGTTTTTTTGAATTTGATTAAGCTTGCTTACCATTATTATGGTCTAATTAGAATATTTTTAATATTTTATTAGAATTAGGATTTTGTTATTGTAATTTTCATTCTTCCTTCCACAACCAGGTGCCTAGAGCATTCTCAAGCAAGACTTCACATATTACGACAGCGTGTTCCACTGCAAGAAGAGGTATGGGACCAAACCATAGATCAAATATCAGCAATACTTAATAAAAAACGGACTAATGTTAGGGGAGTGCAATATCTATGTACTTTCAAAGGTTACCCACTACATGAGTTTCAATGGATTAATAAGCAAAACTTGAGACATGTGCAAGGATTGGTTATAGCCTTCAATAAGAAAGTTAGGAAGTATAGATAAGGAAGGTCTATATGGAAACAGTTGAAGAACTGAAATTTGTGAACCAATGCGCACAACCTCACGATGTACTAAGAAGATGAAGACATCTTTCCTTAAGAAGGGAAGGGGAAGGTTGCAGAGGAAACCTATACAAATGAAATAGGAAAAGTGATGTGGGTTTCTCAATAGATGAAGCAACTTTGAAAAGTTTCCAACCCGAGGAGACTTCGTGAAAGGCAACTTTCGTGAAGCTTGTATGAGGCGGATATAAGACCCTGAGCAACTAGACCTAAACAATTAGCTTTTCCTAAGTGGACTACTCGCTCGGTGATTGCAAACCACTCTCTTTAGGTAAAGAAGAGTAGTGAAGCGAGGCGGGCTTCAGTTAAGGGATTTGACGGTTGAGGTAAGTCTTAAGGAGGAGCGATCTTCCTTGACGCGCATTCAAAAGTGCAAGATTTCAATAGTTACTTAATGGAAGAAAAACTAAAGGAAAAGCTAGGGACAAGGTGTACAAAGAATGCGAGAAAGGGTAGCAATCCGTCTCAATAGAAAGGTGAAAGATTTCTCCAAAGAGTTCAAGGGTGATCGAAGCGGGAAGCTAGGCAAAAAAGAGAGCCTTCACACCTTTTGGATGGTGAGAGTACCAATTATGCTAAGAGTACTCAAGGGATCAAATGGAATGAGTTCTGTCCCTCAAAAAGATTGATTATCTTAAAAAGAATATTATCACTATCTATGAGGACATTCACCTCTTCAAAGTGGAGGAGGATGTAAGGGACTAAATTAGGCAATCTTTATACTAGTGAAAGCAACAAGAGCTAAGAGTTGTTCAATGTCCAAAAGCGACTCGCAGCGGGGTGACATAAGGAAAGGTTGGGTGGATCACCTTCCTCGATCCAAAGGAGCTTTCGTATGGTGACGTGAAAGGAGTCGAGGGGACTTAAGTACTCTAAGTCTCGAGTGCCTCGAGGAACACACATGACCCTACTCGTAGGTAAAATGAGTGCCGAGTAGACAGTCTAGTGCTGAGGGGACGTAAAGGAGGAAGTGACCCCTTAGTCCCCTTAGACGTTGTCCACATGATGGTTGCTAGTGGGGGAGGATGACGATGCGAGGTGGATGAGAGGTAGTCTTATGCAACACGATGCACCTCGATGATGGTGACAAACACTGACTCGATGAGAGTTTAGTGTGTCATGTCCCAAAGCAACCTCAGAGGGAAACACTCATTCTTTCTTGCCGTAGCCAAATGAGCAACATGAGTCTTAGAGAGCAAGAGTGAGAATGTGTCATAAACATTTCAGCATTGCGTTTGCTCTATTCTAACGTGACTTGTGTGGGATGCTCTTTTAGGGGATTGGAGGGATCTCATAGGAGTGGTGACGGTACAAGTGCTTGGATGTTGTCTCCAGTATCAATAAATCCCATCTCTTGGAATTGCGACACCTGCTCCGCATTAAAATTCCTCAGGGATGCTACACCCACAACAATAAAAAGACATGCTATGATAACATTTCCCATGTTCTCATATTCTAGAACGAGTATAGGGTCCAACATCCAGCTACCTGGAATTTCTCAAACAAATGTCATTAGATTTTTCCATGTAACTGGTTACTCACAGCGAGCTGAAAAATCTCTGGTCTGGTCAGTTATTGAATAAAGACTTGGTTCTGCATCATCTCTCTGAAACCGGGATTTTGGCTGACCAATGCTTGTAGATGGGGATGCATATTTATAATCTGTAAATGGGACCACAAATACTCATTAATGGGGAATCTTCGATCCCCGGAACAAATCAAACTACTCCAGCTTAGTGACTAAATTTTCAACAACCAGATTCATATTCCAAATACATTGTAATGTTTCAAGATCGTGTATTCAGGACACCATTAACCGGTTTAAGAGGTGCAAAAGGGATCACTAAACTAACCAGAAAAACTGCTCAAAATCCAGTGAGGATTATATCACGGGAGTTTAAGATTATATTATAGCTACAAAGAGAGCTAGAAGCTGAAGTCCTCAGACAGAGAAAACAGAAGGGAAATACTGACAAGGAAAAGTCATCTGATTCATGTAAGTAGGATTAGATAAGTACTGATGCATCTCCTGTATACGAGCATTATGCACCAACTGCTGCAATATGGTAGGATCCAAAGGCTCCACAAGATCTCTCATCATCTCAAGTTCTGAGAGGCCAAGTCCTGCAAGACAATCCAAGTCTGGAAGAACTTCCCCTGCACCTGGAACAGCCGAGGCTGCCTGATCGGCTCGAATTCCTGCTCCAGCTGATGCAACCACGGCCGAGTAAGGTTGGTGTTAAATCATGCGTCTATCATGCGTAAGAGACATGAAAAGAAACACGAAACGTGCATTGATAGAGAAAACGATCAACCCCTCATGAAATGCAAATTCCTGTCTGACGCAATACTACTAGTTAACATCGGCATGGTTTACAATCATTATGTGCGAATTCACAACCATTGGTGATTACTCACGCGTAGCATTCCGAGGATGAAGGGCCAGGTTCGATAGTCGTTCTCTAAGTTCTGTAATATTAGTTGCACCTCGGCCTTCAGGTTGATCCTGTGCAGCCCAATTCATTCCAGTCAGAGCCATATACGGGTTCGACGCCATGTCATGTCCGCCTTCCCCACACATCGTTGTGGCATTCAATACTGGCTCTTGGACAGTTTCTTACAAACGCCAGACCATATTTGACGCTTCGGGCGAGGCTTCAATATTACTCGTAGCTCAATCTTCGTTTCTCATCACATCACCCATGAGCTCAGGGTCAATAATTCCTCTCATCGCAGGATTATACACAATCATAGATCGAATTAGAGCAGGGTTATTCATAAGGTTTTATACTGCAGGCATATCTAAAATTTCTCTCATTAAGTTCGGGTTTTGAGATAAACTGCTGCACCTGCTGCAATTCTGGAGTTCTGAATACCATTTCAGGTGTAAATCTCAAAAAACCCACCCCTCGATGCCTTTGACCAGCAGAATTTTCTTGAGATGAGGATGTCGAAGTTGTCACCTAAGTTGAAGTTGGCATTCCTTTGACCAAATGATTGAACTGTATGATCACTTTTCAGACCTAATACAAATCACGAGATACACATACATCGGAATAACGTTTTAATGGTCACACTCGGGGCTCTACCATAGCTTCCGCCAACAATGAGAGGAGGCTTTCAGCCTTCGAGCTTTTGAAATACAGTCAAAAGACTTCATCATTTTCAAATTCGAGCATTAATACTTCGTAGCAAATAATTCACCATGAGATGGGCATATTTTTGCATGATTAATGTAGCATCAAACTAAATGAAAATTGCTCATAAAAATCAGTTGAAACATCCACCATTACTAGTGCATATAACCAGTACCTATCACGTAGACATGCAGAGACAAGTGACACAGCACATAAATCGATTATGGTCTTGACTTGATCCCATCACAGTGTCTGCGCCTGATCTTCTAACATTTCTAATTAAATTTAACATTATGATTCTTGAATTTTGTTTGAAAAATACACGGGATAAAGAAAAAAGAAATACATACACACACAAAAAAAAAGCAGTTTCGTTAGTAATAAACATTTCACCTGGAATCCTTTCCAGAAGAATGACACTGGCCCCTTGCGTGGGACGCTGATCTAGTAAGCGATTGCTTGCTTGCTCTAATAGACTAAACAGAGTTCGTCCAATATGTTCTCAGATACGGAATGCATTAAAACAATATGTATTCAAAACCCACGTATATAAGGCAGCTCGTGCGTGTGAGCAACCTCGCATGAAATGTCTCAAAATAAACTCACACGATGCCACTCCCACCCACCAAATCCACATTACCATGATCAGAAATCACAAGTCAACGTCGCAACTCAAATTTACACAACAGTCAAACCCACAACACTGACCACAATGCTGAATAAAAATGTGACGCATCCAACACAGCCATCAATCAACCAAACGAACAATCAAGCAATCGCTTACGGTAACTATCGAGTGTCCTCTCATGAACAAGCTTCCGGCCCTTGTAAATCAAACGTTGCTCGTTCTTGGGGATATTCGTCAGGTCCACCAACGAATCCTTCAATGAAATCACGGTGGAACTCAAAGCTACATTCAACGTAATCGTGCTACTATTCATCCCCTCACATGCACCAAAGCGTTGTCAGAAGCAACATTCTTCCTGCTATCTTCCGCGCCCGCTTCTGCATCGCCGTCGGGCCCTTCCTCCATCTCTCTCCACCAAACCTATTCTAACGCGATTGAATCGTTCCTCTACCACGCTCACCTCAAAAATGTAAAAGCTCTAGCTTAGCAATTCTCTCTACCGCTGACTTCCGAACGGTAAACGTCTAATTCTTCACACTACGCCAAATCTCGCTCGTTTCCGATCAAATCAAAGCCCAAACATCCATAACAAGTTCTAGGTACTGTAAAAATGCGTACAATCTGCAGCCGAGCGGGCCAAAGGACCTAAATTGAGCGGAGGCATTCGAGGAATCCATGGCGCGGATTCCACGAGCCCAAGCACAAAGCCCCACGAAGGCTTTGCCCAGCACCAGCGCAAAACAAGTAAGCAGGGCCCAGCCATCCATCCATCCATCATCATCATCCATTCGTCTATTCATTCATCCATTCCGTCTTCTCCTCTTTTAAAATAGCGAACGAACGTTGTTCGTCTATGTGGATGAATTTCGTTCCGTTCCATTTTAGGATAGACGAACGAGATGGACATGTTGTCCGAGGTGTGCTGTGGGTTGACTCATGGATGACTTTTATGGATGATTTTTATGGATGATGACGCATCACTGGAGCAAATTTGAATATAAATTGGATGCCCCTAAAATTGAGGTAATTTGATGTAGTATAAGTTTATTAAAATTCATTTGGTACATTAAAAAAAATAAATGTGCTTGTTATGGCAAATATGTATATAAGACTCTGAATATCTATCAGATTATTCAGCATCTTTGTAAAAATATATTAATATATATATATATATATATATATATATATGGTTCGTTTTCTCTCCATTAAGCAATCTCTCCAAAAGCAATGACCTCTAATTATCCATTCTTGGAAATTGATTATGTTCTATAGTGTATAATCAATAAAAAGATTTTATTATTTTTTAATTTGATTTTATTAATTAGAAAAGTTAATTAATAGAGATGTGGTTGAATTGGCTACACATGATTAGGTGAGTCAAGCCTACATGGCTACTACAGTAGAAGCGATTATCCTAGATTGTACAACCCTAGCAAAGATGCTGTAATTTGATTTTTGGATGTTAAATGGAGGTAGAATATTAAAATTGATATATTTTTAATATTTGAATTTGAATTTATTTTAAATTTCTTGAAATTACATCAGTTTTGATTTAAAACTGCTAAAATTACAACACATATTGAACAAAATATCTTATTTAATAATAAATAAAAGCAAAGAACTAAAATATGTTGTATAATTGTTGTTTTGTTTGAGAATGCATTAGGCACTTAGTTGTAGAAGGCATTTTGTACCTCCCAAAGAACCTAAAAACCCTAATAAAATCTTAAATAAATCCTAATCAAACTTTAACAAATCTAATGAAGCATTAATCAATTTTTTATAAATCTTAACAAAAAACCTAAAAGAATCACAAAAAAATCATAAAAAATAATTTAAAAACCATAAAAGCATTAAAAAAATCCTAAAAAAATTCTAAAAAAATCTTAATAAAACTTCAAATTAATTTTAATAAATTTCAATAAAATCTTAAAGATAACTTAATCAAAGACTAAGTAAGTTCTAATAAAATATTAAATAAATTCTAATCAAATACTAAATATATTCTAATTAAGTATTAAAAAAATCTAATCAAATGTTATAGTAGTTTTAAAATTTTAATAATTATTAATCAAATAAGTCATCTTACTTCAAAATTTATACACATTTTAATCTACTAGTTAAAAATAAGTAAAAAAAATTTTAAAATAATTAAACTTATAGATTAGGATAAAATACTCATAATTTGCTTGAGTGTTAGCAACTTTTATTTTTTAACCTTGATGTCAATCTATCAACACCAATAACTCCTTATTATATTATTAACTTGCTAAAAAAACTTACAAAAATTTTGCAAACTAAGTTCACTTTCAACTTTCAAAAAATTATTTTAATTCAACTATATTATGTGATGTGGCATTGAATGCCAAATCCCATCAAATGTATATGATTTGATTTGGTTTAGTGGTTTTTCTATCTATTTAGTTTTTTCCATTAGTTGTCTTTGTTAATATCAAGTAGAGTTTATATACTTAGAAAAAAAATTCCTTGCCTTGATATTGTGTTAAGTTAAGTCTTATGAATGGTTTTATCATGGACATACGCATGTAAGCCAGTAATTACATGTATAAATAGGTAGAAGTAAGTAAAAGTAGATAAAAGTAAGTTAATTCTATAGTATTTGGTATGCAAGCTTCCTAGAAACTTCACAGATGCTGCTTTGACATTATAAATGTCTTTAATTGACTTTTTGGGATTAAAAACGTGGTCAACAAGTTGGCCATGTGCCACACATGTTGTTAGCTTGAAGACCAAGCTAACTATGTGGCCCACACGTAGAAAAACTTGCTTTGTAAGTCAAGGCATGTGTCCTACAAAGTCAACACATATTGGAGGTCTTATAGAACATTTCTATGTAGCCCTTAATAAGATAGTATATATAGAGACAAGAGTGAAGGCTTCTTCACTCTTGTCAACTCCTTTCTTGCTTCTAGTCTAGCTTCAAGGGTCTCTAGTTTTCTTGGCTTTTGACAATAGCCATTCCAGTTTCTTTCTTAATATACATATCAAGTTGTTTCTATTTTGTCATCTTTCTTTGAAAGAAGTCTCACTTGTTTATTTGTCTTTATCATGTTCTTGTCCTTAACAGGTTTTTGAAAGAAAAAAAGCTTATTGAAAGAATTTAATTTAGCTATGGTGATTGACTATTTATTAAAGCTTAAGGATTTTTTCTCTACTCACATTTTTAGCATTTTTAGATTCCATCTTTGTAGTGTAAGAGACAACTTGATTTACTTTTGTAGATATATATATTTTGAAACTATGTTGATTGTGCATGTATATTTGATTTAGATTACATATTTTGTGATTGCTTTGTGTCAAGGACAAGAACTCAATGAAAAAACAATTCAGACAAGTGAGCCTTCACAAAAAGAGAGGTAACAAAATATATATAAACAAGTATATATATTGAAAGAGAAATTAGAATGGCTATTGCCAAAAGACAAGAAAACTAGAGACCCTTGAAACTAGACTAGAAGCAAGAAAGGAGTTGACAAGAATGAAGAAGCCTTCACTCTTGTCTCTATATATACTATCTAACTAGGGGCTATGTGGCGACGTTCTATAGGACCTCCAATATGTGTTGACTTTGTAGGATACATGCCTTGACTTACAAGGCAAGTTTTTCTACGTGTGGGCCACATAGTTAGCTTGATCTTCAAGCTAACAGCATGTGTGGCACATGGCCAACTTGTTGACCACGTTTCTAATCCAAAAATTCAATTAAAGACACCTATGAAGTCGAAGCAGCGTCTATGAAGCTTCCATATTGAATACTATAGAATTAACTTACTTTTACCTACTTTTACTTACTTCTACCTATTTGTATATGTAATTACTAGCTTACATGAGTATGTCCGTGACATTACCCGCCCTTCTAGAGATGAGTTCCACGAGGAGCGGTCATCATATGTTGAGGAAATCTATGATGCGACGAATTGTATTCGCCACATACTCTGATCTTTGTTCTCTTCGAAGATGATTGATAGGGCCTCTCAACCATCGGTAGTGTCCTATATCAGGGCGGGAAGACCACCCAGTTATTTGATCATTGTTGAGGTCTTTGTAACTTCCTTCGAATAGAATATTTGGAACACCATCAGGAGTTGTTCCTACCTCTAGCACAATCACCAAACATCGGGAGTCCCTTCCCAAATCGTGATACCAAACACGTTGTATCTCGCCATCTATTCGAGAAAGAACATGTCGTTCTTGAAGATCTTCATCTTGATTGCGTTGTCTTGAAGGTTGTGACAATCGTAATGTCTCGTCTGACAAGTCAGCAAATGAAGGCTCTTGAGTCAAATCTATTGATTGTTGGTTCTCCATCTCCTGAGCATCACTACTACAAAGAAGCTACGAACAAGAATTGAAAGTAGAATGTTATCTTGCCTAGATGTTGATTCTTTTATAAAGAAGATTTTCATCTTGATTTTGATGGATGTTGTCGAATAGAAGCCTCCACCGCCTTTGCTGCATTTGCAAGATTCTTTATTAGCTTCCATGTGCGTTCACTAATACCATATCCACGTCAATGGACAAGATATTCTAATTTATTTCGGTGCCGCCTTGAATCTAAGACTTCTTCTAGTTCAAACTCTTCATTATTGTCCACTTCTATAGGAAGAGGTGGAGTTTGTCATCTTCTTGGTATGTCCACTATCTTGTATGGTTCAAGAAGAGACACATGGAATACTAGATGGATTTTCATTGACTCCGATAGATATAAACGATATGCAACTGGATTGATTTGTGCAGAAATAGAAAATGGTCCCAACCTTCGATAGTCCAACTTGTCACAAAGATAAGTGGTCTTGATATTACGATAAAGTAGTCATACCTTATCACCCAAGACGAATGATGGTTGTTCCTTTCGATAGACATCCGCATTGACCATTTGTTGTTCTTGAGCCTCTTTTAAGTGCGCCTTCATCGTTGCATGTAACTCTAATAAATGTATTGTCAAATCTTTTGCAGCAAGATTATCAACTTTTGAAAAGTCAAAAGTATTAAGTCGTGGATGATAACCATAATTAGCAAAGAAAGGTGTTTGTTTTGTAAAAGAATGTACCGTATTATTGTAAGCAAACTCTGCCAATGGCAAAAGAGTTGTCCAATCATCTTATTGGTAGTTAATGGTACATCTTAAATATTGTTCCAAAACTTGATTAACATGCTCCGTTTGTCCATCAATTTGAGGATGGAATGCTGAAGATAGTTTTATATCCACTTTACGAATCTTGAAAAGAGTCCGCCAAAATCTTGATACAAATTGAATTCCCCTATCTGATATAATATCCTTGGGTAATCCATGATAGCGATAGATATTGTCAAGAAAGAGCTTAGTTGTTTCTTCACTTGTGATAGATTTTGTACATGGTATAAAATGTACCATCTTGGTAAAACGATCTACTATCACGAATATAGAGTCATAAGAACCTGAGATTGGAAGATCCGTGATGAAATCCATAGAAACAGAAGACCATGGTTGTTCAGGAATGGATAATGGCTGAAGAAGTCCAAAAGGTCGATGACAAGGAGTTTTCGATCTTGAGCAAACATCACATGATTGTACAAAATCTTTAATTACCTTCCACATTTGAGGCCACCAAAAATCCCTAGATATCAGCTCCAAAGTCTTATTATATCCAAAATATCCTATTGTTGGGAAGTCATGACGAGCTTGAAGAACACGTTGTCGTGTTG